CTCTATTAAAGGAGAGGCGTTCACCGATTCAGAAATGAAGAGACACCGCTCTTCAAAAACCGGATTTCCTGGCGTAAAGATCGCCATCTCTTCAGACGCAATCCAAGCTTTTCAGAAAGCGTGTGCAGATTTGTCAAAAGTTCCCAGCTTTTCAGAAGACGCGTGGAAGGCGAGAAATCAGCTGCACACTTTAGCCGACAAACGTGGGAGACAAAGTCGAAAGCTCCCAGCTTTCCAGAAAGCGAATGCCACTTTGTCGAAAGCTCCCGGCTTTTCAGAAAGCGTGTGCCATTTTGTCAAAAGCTCTCTGACAAAGCTGAAGACGCGTGGAGATAATTTCCGCATCTGCATTGCCACTTGCCATTACAATCCCTATATACATCAACATTCATGGCAAAGCATACATCCAGAAGCGCATAACTTTCCTTCTCGGCCGAAAATGTAAGCTGCAACCAACCCTCTCAAACATGTTCAGTTTTCTCCTTCTCTTGAGAACGCACTTTCAAACATGGATGTATCCCCCAAAGAAGATACCAAATGCCTGCAGTACGAAGGAGGAAGAGGAAACGGTGGATCGAAGCATGTGGATTCATTCGCTGCCTCTTCGAAAGCAAAGGTATCTCATATCATCAAGGGCGAAAGCAAAGGTATCTCATATCATGCTCTTTCCCTGTCTTTTCCCTTATCCTTGATATTACTTGCATGGCAAAGTGAAAGAAGCAATCAGCCGGCACTTGGAGTCTATCTGGACTCTATTCCCTGGTTGCTTACCTAGCTTTGCTGAGCTATCCTCTAACCCTCTTCAATACGAATTGGAGAGATTGAACAAAGAAACAGATAAGAGGAGGAAGCTCAGACCTTCGGGGGAGACCAAAGGAAGCCTGCTGCCCAGTTCAAGAGTAGCACAAAGGAAAATCAACGATGGGAGCAGCGCAGTTCAAGAGTAAGCCTGTGGAAACAAAGATCCAAGCCTCACTGCAATCACCAAGGAGAAGATAGAACGAACACTCCATAACCAGATTTGCATCTCTAAACTCTTCTCTTTGTTAGATACATTCTGCCATGTTTAGTATGTTTAATTGTTGTTTATATGTTTGTTTGTGTTTAGTGTGGTTTTTAACATTGAGGACAATGTTTGATTTAAGTGTGGGGGAGTTACTAAAGTGTTTTGATGCAAATTCATAGGGTTTTATCCACCATAACTTCAAATGTTGTTTCTTGCTGTTTTTAAGTGTGTTTAGTGTGTTTTGACTTAAAAATTCGAAAATCACATAAAAAAAAAATTTGAAAAACATGTTTTGAAAAGCCTAAAAAGAGTGTTTTGAGTCGTTTTTGTGTCGTAGGTCACCTTCCAACACAATGATAAGGATTTGGTTTCTAATTGCATGACTGTTAAAAAGAGTTAGAAACATGGAGAAAAGTTTGATTTACTCTTGGTATATGCTTGGTTATGGTTATAATGTATGACTTCACATGCAATCATAAAAGAAAAAAATTAGTTATGTAACATGCTTGAAGAAAGGAACTCAAACAAACGCTACAACCCTGAGAGACTTGAGCCTATAACGTTCTTTGGAGAGTATAATCTGTGATTTCTTGTTTTCTAAAGTCGTTGCATGATCTCATTATTCTTTGCTTGGTTACTACTTAGAAGGCGTTTCATCATATAGTTCCAAATGCTAGAACTCATGCCCATTTCATTCAAAGCATGTTATTGATTTACATAACATATTCAAGATGAAGTTGTGTAATTGCCACCATAGCCAAATAACCTCACTTCCCATATTTCGTATATGTTGTAAGTTTTACCCCCGTTGAGCTTTGTTTAGCCTTTATTCTTTGTCAACCCACATTATCCTCACCTAGCCTAGTTTAGGATAATCCACACCTTTGTTCTTAGAAGATAGTGAGCATGACTTAATTGAATTCCTTTTGAGTTACATTATGCAAGAAAATGAGTGTGGGATAAGGAATGCTTGTTCTTAAGTATGTTTTGAGTTTCAAAAGAAAAGAAAAACAGAAAAGAAAAGAAAGAAAGAAAAAAGAGCTTGAAAAATGAAAGAATGAGTGATTGAAGTAAGGGCTCAAAACACCAATTCTGGCCCTAAATTGTCTCCCTTTTTGTTCCAAAGTTGAGTTTTCATTCAAAAGTGAATTCTAAGTTGATTCAATTGCCTTGCTCACTATTTCTTTAAGAACCTTTGTTTTCCATATCCCTTCTTTGTTATCCACACGCCCCAAACCCCATTACAACCCGTGACTTCAATCTTGAGTGTTATGTATTTCAATTGTGGAGTTTGATTTTGGTATGAGCATATGGTGTCACTGGTTCTCGCGTCTAAGTAGTAGCATTCCATTCATGAGATCATATCTAAACATGCTTATTAACTCCAGAAATTGCGTTCTTTGTGATACATATATGTGAGTGTTCGTTTTCATGTTTACATCAATCTTCTCACATATGACTAGATTAGGGTGTGTAGTTAGAAATTCTGAGTGAAAATCGAGTGCATATCTTGTAAGGAATTGAGCAAATTCTCTAAGGCATGTTACTACATTCAAAATATGGTTTTAAATGCTTAAATGTGAACTAGTATATGGTGACTATGATTAAGAATGTACTTAAGTGTGAAGATGACTAAAATCTGTGAGAATGATGATTTCTAACATGTCATGTGCATTGGAAATCCCTAAGACGGGTGTTGGAAGGTTTAGGTTGTGTTTTAAGTGTTTAGTGTCGTTTTGTTTATTTGTTTTTATTCTGTTTTGCTCGAGGACTAGCAAAAGTTAAGTGTGGGGGAGTTTGATAGGAGCATATTTAGGCGACTTACTTAACTTGTTTTCGTGCATCTATGTTGGTAATTCATAGTTATTTTAGTCCTTTATGCTTCTTTTGTGTGTTTTCATGGTTCTAAGGGCAAAGTATGCAAAATGGTGCATTTTGGTGCATTTTGGAGTAGTTTGGGGCGTTAAATGGATTGCATATACTTGAAGCCAAGTAGATGGACGAAATTGAAGACCAAAGGAGGCCTTTGTACCAGAAATTCACACCAACACATCCCATTTCAGATTGCATTCCAATCATTCCAGCCAAGCCACATGCACTCCCTTTAATTTATTCAACCTAGCTGTCAAAGCACATGCACATTCACCCTAATCATTCACATACACAATCTGCCATCATTCACACATTCATTCCACATGCATTCCCTTCACAAATCAGCCACATGCACTTTGCCTTTCATCATTGCACCATAAATCAGCCACATGCACCCATAATCATTCAACCAACTTTGCACATGCATTCATCATCATAACCTAGCTGTCATTACCCTTTAATCACATGCATAAATCAGCCACATGCATCTCCCATCACCATTTCAGATTTCCACCAAGTTCCTAGCTGTCATATTCCCTCCTTTTCACCTATAAATAAGCATCCATTGCAGCCACAATTCATTCATTCCCATTCATACACAATTCATTCACCATTCACGCCAGAAATTCATCCCCTCTCTATAACACATCCATACTTCACCATTCTTCATATTTTCTGCCCAAAAAGAAGCCTTGAGGTCCCCTACATCCATCCCTATCCTAAACACATCATTCTACACCATCCATAACTCCCCATCCCTCCAAACCTATCCTTAGACCTTGTGCTACAACGAAGAGGAGGAGAAGAGTGCCTAAACGTTCATACAATTCAAGTTTGAGTTGTTGGAATGTTTAGGTGTTTCTTTTCCTCGATCCCAATGTTTAATTTCAATTCTCTTTGTTTTGTACGTATGAGGAACTAAACCCCCCTTGGCTAGGGGGGGATTCGAAATATATGTTTATGCTTGCATTTTGATTTGATTACTTCTAATTGCGTTTCATAAGTTGTGGATTCAATTTGTTTAACTGTTTGATTGATAACTTATTTATGTATGTTTATTGAGAGTATACGCTTAATTTTCATGCATGAATATGACGCTAGAATATAAGTGAGTTTCACCTAATAGTTACGAACTTATATTCACAAGTAGTGGAGGTTGCTTATAAACAATCGCGTTAAACGAATTCTTGGCATAAGTTTCATGCAATCATAGTAACGAATGCCTCGTCAACACTTATAGTTTTCATGATGCTTAATGATTCTTGCTTGTATCTCTATTATGCAATTCATGTAGGGAACTTGTGAGGAATGCTTTGGGTTGTCGTATGCAATCATCCAATTCATTAACTTAAGGAAAATTTGACGGTTAATTTAAGCGGACCTAATTAACCCGGGGCGTTGAGAATTCATGGTTTATTGAGAAGCAATTAGATTCGTTTTATATGCAAGTATAACATGTATGGAGATGAACCCCTTGGCTAGCATTCATTCATTCAATTCCATCACATTCATCTTTACAATCTGTTTTTAAATACAATCTGTGCATTTTAGTTAATTTCGTCAAAAACTCAATCCCCCTTTACTTTAATGTCCAAATTAGTTAGAAACTGTTTTAGGTTGTGTTTATAAGTGTTTTGATTCAATTTGTTATGCAAATTCGTCCAAATTCACCAAAGTGCTCAAAACTGCCCAGAAAGTGTTTTTAAGGCTGTTTTGAGTGTTTTGGGTGATGTTTGAGTCTTTTGGTTTGTTTTAGTGTTTCAAAGTTTAGTTTTGCATTCTTTGAGTCTAGTTTAGTGTTAAAGTGTCTCAGTTTGTGTTTCTAAGTGTTTTGATTCAAGTTATTACCCAAATTCGTCCAAAGTACTCAAAGTGCTCAAAACTGCCCAGAAAGTGTTTTTAAGGCAGTTTTGAGTCTTTTGGTTTGCTTTGGTGTTTTAAAGTTTAGTTTTGCATTCTTTGAGTCTAGTATAGTGTTTTATATTGTGTTTTTACTTTTTTGAGTCAAATCCAAGTGATTAACAATCCCTCCTAATCCCCGGTCCTGAACGATCCCTACTTACATTCTATACTACAATTGTCAAAAAGAGGGTTTAATTTGTGCGCGTATAATTCTCGCATCAATATATTTTCTAGCTATTACTAGTAATAATTTTCAACTTCTTGGACTTTCAATTTTCTCCAGTCCAAGGGCCAAGAAAAGATCAATTCAACGTCATCGGAGCCCTAAACGGAGAAAAGACAACAACAATACGAAAGACACTGAAAATTACATATTCGCCTCCACACGTTTGTACAAGTGTGATGGCAGCCTTGGAGTAGGTACAAGTTCTACTGGGGTTGCCATGTAAGTGACCAGGCCCGGATTTTCGGACATGTCAATCTCCTCTGGGTTCACGCCTTCGGGCAGAGCCCAACTGAAATGGTGCAACAGATGACCCAACATGGAGGCAACCAAGTTGATACCGAGTTGGGCTCCGGGGCATACTCGCCTGCCAGCTCCAAATGGAAGTAGTCTAAAATCATGGCCTTTGATGTCAAATTCTTCTTCTAGGAACCTTTCTGGACGAAATTCATTTGGGTTTTTCCAGACAGACGGGTCACGTGCTATAGCCCAAATATTGACATGAACGATCGAACCCTTGGGGACGTCGTAGCCACCAATCTTGACATCGACATTGGCTCGGTGTGGGAGCATTAGCGGTGCTGGTGGGTGCAAACGTAGTGCTTCCTTTGCAACACATTGTAGGTAAGGGAGTTTTGAGAAATCGTTTTCGGTTAAGACCCGGTCGACCCCAATAACCTTATCTAGCTCCTCTTGAGCCTTTTGTTGCACCCTTGGGTTCTTAATCAGTTCGGCCATGCCCCATTCAGATGTAATAGCTGTGGTGTCTGTACCGGCAGCCATCATATCCTGAACAAATCGCTTCATTAGTTTCGAATGTAAGGAAAGTGTGCACGATGACTATCTCAGAGTGCTAATAACAGCTCGTTAACTAATAAAAAAGGAAGCAACAAAGTGGGAAACCATTGATGTATTAAGGTACACTAACTTACCCAAAGAAGTCCTGTAATGGTGTCCATACTAAGGTCATACTTGTCCTTCAAGGTAAACAATGCATCCACGAAATGGTTCTTGGCAACGCCACCCTTGGAGCGTGCCTGAGTGTGTTCGTCCATGATTTCCTTGGTGAGTTTGTCTCTGTTTGCCTCATGTCGATCAAACGCCTCTTCGTCAAACGGGCATGCCCAACGCAACCACGAAATGTGCTCAGCCACTGAGAGCGATCCGCTCTGCTTCACTCCATTGGCAAGAAGAGCTCTGAATTCTTTGCCTTGCTCATCTGTGATTTCATCTGAGTTGATAAAACGTTTCCCAAATGCTAGCCTTGTTATGTTGTTGAAAGCCACAGTTCCCAAATACTTCCTTACCGTCAAAACTTTTCCATTGTTTTCTGTAAAATGGTGAGTAAATTGTTAACAACAATCACTTAATTGGTACAAGGACGAGTTTGCAAGTGCATTTACGCAAACATATTCTTCTTCTTTTTCTTCTTTTTTCTTTTTAAATAATAAGAACTTAAAAAGATAACAAGTTTTGAAAGATCACATTCTGAATAAGTCGGGAGGGTTCTCAAACGAAACTAGACAAGTATTAATTGAGATGTCAAAAGTAAAAGTACTGAGAGGCCAAGCTTTGACAAATGAGGATCCTTTCCTGATCCTCTTTATGAGAATTTCAGAGATTCTCTAATTACGTCCGTTCATCGTAAATTATGCGATCAGTTTTTGTTGAGTACTATTTATATTCAATTTTAAATAAAAAAATTTACAATGATTTTTTAATGCACGATGTAGAATGAACGATCGTGATTGAAGAATCATTAGGATCCTCACAAAAGGATCTGGAGAGAATCTTCGTTCATGCTTTGCTATACAGTGATCAATGCTATCCAAAGCTATTTTTACCAAAAAAAAAATTGCTATCCAAAGCTACCAATCTTCAATGCTATCAATCTTCCATTAATACCCATCTTTTCTATGTTTTTAAAATGTTTTCGGTAAAATCTTTTGTGTTAGCCAAATTTCCATCACAGGTGTGGTATATGTAGTTTTGGTGGCTGATTCAAGAAAACAACTTGTATAATAAAAATATATTATTATAGTAACGTCTTGTACTAATAATACAAGAACGGGTGAATAAAAACTAAATATATATTGATATGAGACGCTACATATCATACTTCTCCTCCTCCTTAATCAGGGGTTTATCTATTTGTTGGTTGATTTGCAATTTTCTCCAATTTATTTTAGTAAATATTTACTTTTCTTAAGAAGATTATACTTTCAATTAACTATTTCATAAAATGTTAAAAAGTTAAAGGAAATACATACCAGGTTTGCTGCAGTGGTTGAAGACGGACTCCACCATAGCAGTGACCTCATCTTCTCTAATGGGTCTCAGATCCTCGAGCCTCTTTGCAGAGAAAAGCTCAAGAGTGCACACCTTCCTCACCTTAACATAGTGGGGCCCATAGTCAGCCCAAACAAGATCCTGGCCGTCCCCGCTGAACTTTGCGGTTGATCTGTTCCTGGGCCTGTCAGCCAGTTTCTGGTCATTCTCCTTGAGCACTTCCTTTGCAAGCTCTGTATTGCTCACTACGACGTTCAGTGTGGATCCAATCCACACTGAAATGATGGGTCCATATTTCTGAGCCCACTCGTTGTAGCAGCGGAACGTCACCGGCGTTATCTGGTAGAGGTTTCCGACGACGGGCCATGGACGTGGACCTGGCGGGAGCTTGAACCTGAGCCGTTGGTAGAGCTTGTATGCAAGGAAGATGAAGATGATGATTGATGAAATGGGAAGAAGTAATCCAGAGAGAGCCATGTGAGAGTGCTAATAGTAAAAAACTCCGCTCACGGAGAGAGAGGGTTACTTTGTTGGACTTGAAACGTTGAAGATATGTATAGATATACAGTGTATATAGAAAGCCTTTAAGCAAGGGATCCTTATTTTCACAAAAAAAAAAAAAAAAAAAAAAGAATATCCTCTTAATTGTTATATTTAATCTAGTGGTTGAGATTCTGTGGCTTGTGGTTTAATCTTAACTACAGAATTTCATTAAAGTCAAATCTAACGGTCAAGAGGTTATTCACATTTTTTTTGAAAAATGAAGATCCATTGCCTTAAAGGGCCTATGTGTGTATGTGTATGTGTGTGTGTACATATATATATATATATATATAAACGTATATATATTCTTTAATTCCTTATCGATTTTCAATGTTGGATCAAAGTTTATGAATTATGTAACCTCAATAAATTAGTATTAATGTATGTAATTTTTTTGAATTTAAAATTTTTTTGTAATTGCAGTTACCTATATTTATAGAATTAAAAGCTCATAATTTGTTATTTAAATATTAAAGACAGATCAAACTCTTAAAAATCTTTATCATAATAATCTTCACAATCATCAATACCAGCCTTAAAACCCAGAACCTTGAGGAATAATGTACTACAAAACATTGGGTACATTCTCTTACGAACAATGTACTGTATAACATGGGTACATTCTTCGAATAAACCTCGTATGGATACATACGAAATTTATTCTAAGACTGAAATAAAAAAAAACATATGGGAAAACTCCACATGAACTCATATTATGTATCCATGTTTATAAGTGGATACAATATTTATTGACGTGTGGGTGGACCCAAAAAAAACATATAGGTAAGTGATATGGGATACATAATAAAAACATAAATATTGCACCCAAAAATTATAACATGGATACACAATATGAATACAAAATTATAGTGTTCACTTATATATGGATACATAATACAAAATATTTTTTTCCCACTTTTAATTTTTTTGGTAGAATAAAAAAATAAACAAAAAGTTTAGGAATTAAATTGTATTGAAAAAGTAATTAATATAGGATGATAATTAGTTGCATGAAATAGAGGAGTTAAACACTCAATTAAATTCTTATTTAGAATACATAAAATAATCTAAAATGTTGATGTAGAAATAACTCAAGGACTTCAATTAAAAGTTAAAACAACATAAGGTTTCAATCAAGACAATGTCATGACTAGGGATGGGAACCTAAGTTTTTATATAAATATGAACAAAGAGATGTATGGAGTTATATTGCAATGTGGAAGCGTGAATCGAATATGTAGATAGACGGAATTTAATTCTACATTTGTGGGCTACAAGTCAAGTACCCTTGTCAAGACTCCCAAGGATTTGTGGAAGTTCCTCCGCAACACAGTCGTTGGTCAATTTACTTGACTCCAAGCTCTATTATTAGTAGAGTAATCATTTGAAAAATTTGTAAAATTCAAGAAAATAAAAGATAAGGATTTTTCGTATACCACAATCATCATTTAATTAACTAATTTTTCTTAATTATTAGTTTATTAAATAATGAATTAAATTTAAAAATCTGATTAATTCAAATGATGTGGCTGTCCACATCAAATGTCACCTAAAGTGGTATGAAAATGTGGTACAAAAAATGGAATGAATAGCATTACTCTTCTTAATATCATGAGTAATGCTATTCATATCATATTTTTGTACCACATTTTCATAACACCTTAGATGACATCTGATGTAGACAGCCACATCATTTGAAAAATTTGCAAAACCCAAAGAAAGGAATAAGAAAGACTCATTGTATACCACAATCATCATTTAATTAACTAGTTTTTCTTAATTATTAATTTATTAAATAATGAATTAAATTTAAAATTTTGATTAATTCAAATGATGTGGTTGCCTACATCAAATGTCATCTAAAATAGTATGAAAATGTAATATAAAAATATAGTATGAATAATATTACTGTAATATCATGTATTTTTTCTGAATTTCTTGCTAGTGAATTTATTTATTTATTTTTTCTAGTGTGTTGGTTCTAAAAATTTCCAAGCTGACATGGTGCATAGGGTCAGCAGAAAATTGTGATGGAATGAGTGTGTAAATTACATCTTGATAAACATCGACAGACAAATTGTGATGGAAATGATTTGAATTGGTTTCCTTTCGGGAATTGCTGGCCGGAGAAGTCTTGCTAAATATTAGATTTGTCACTTATTAGTCCGAACTCATATCATCATGTAAGAATTCATTACATTTCTACTATTATGATAAAGGATCACAGCAAAAGCAAGTCTTGCTTGCTAGACACGTTTCATTAGAAAAACAACTTTAGAATAAAAGTCATGCAAAAATCAAATGGATCAAAAGATTTCAACACAAACTGGGACCCACTTCTTAGAAAAAAAACAAAATAGAAATTGTCATGAATAGCTTCAACGGCAAAAGGTTGAGGGAGATTTGACATGACACCTTACCTATCGGTTCGTACTTCTATCTGGATTCACTTACCAAAATTGCAGCTCATTCTACGTCAAAAAGAAAAGAGAGAAATTAATAAAAATAGTTTGAAAATTTTAAGTTTTAACGATAAATATAAAATAAAAGGTAAAATAAATAGTATTAGGATTGACTTTTTAATATAAAAATATAATTTTTTATTAAAATAAACCATAACGAAAATTTTTCGTTAAAGTTTCTAAAGAAAAATTGCTCACTTACTAAATTGCAACTCATTCTAGATCAAAACGAAAAATTGCAGCGAAGCTGGAGCTTGGTCAATCTCATGTTTGGACTGTGATGGGGCAAATTTCATTGGTTGTTTTAAGGTAATATATCAATATTTATGTGTGTCGTTTTTAATTAAATACACAAGAACATTTATATATGGTATGATAAATCATGATGTTTTTTTCTTGTTGAGTGTATAGGAAGTCAAGCATAGTCCTGGTGAAATTATACTTGATATTGTGATCATAATTCTTTTCAAGAGTGCTAACTTAATTGATTTACAATGTTAATTCTTTTTCTTTTTTCTTTTTTTTCATTTAATATAGGTGTAAGCATAACTATGGGCTTAAACATTGATTTAAACTCAAATGTTGAAGTTTAAAGGGTAAAATGAGAAAGAAGTGGGTTTGCAATGATCACTTTACTTTGTTTTTTTCGTTTTTTAAGAAGTGGGTTCTAGCTTGTATTGAAGTCTTCGACCCATTTGAGTTTTTCACAAATGTTGAAGGTTAAAGGGTAAAATGAGAAAGAAGTGGGTTTACAATGATCACTTTACTTTGTTTTTTTCGTTTTTTAAGAAGTGGGTTCCAGCTTTTATTGAAGTCTTCGACCCATTCGAGTTTTTCATAAACATTTTTACTGTACTTTTTGTTTTCTAATGAAATGGGTCCCAACTTGTATTGAAGAATGGATGAAAATGAAGCAAGTCTTGCTAGACTTGCTTTGCTAGCTGTGTTGAAGAAGGGATGAAAATAACATGCGTTAGCGAGTCTCGCTGGACTTGCTTTGCTAGCAGTATCGAAAAAGGGATGAAAATAAAACTTGTCTAATGGGTCTTGCTAGACTTGTTTTGCTAGCGAGTATGGCTAGCAATTTCTTTGTTTTTTTGGGGATAAGTCGGCGAGAGAGACACACAGTGTTAGGTGAAATAGAGAGAGGATCCTTACCGAATCCTCTTTGTGAGGATTCTATGAATCCTCCAATCATATTCGTTCATCGTACATTCTGCGATCAATTTTCGTCAGATATTATTTATATTCAATTTAAAATAAACAAATTTACAATGATTTTTAACCGTACGATGAACAATGAACAAATGTGATCTGAGGATTATCACTCGAAATATTCTGTTCCCTTGCTTTTTTGGGATGAGTGGACGACAAAGACACACAGAGAGTGTTGGGTGAATTATTTCTGGTCTCAACGTGTTAGACAAATAAGGAATATGGTTGGAGTCCTTGTGTAATTGTATATAATATTATTCACTAGCCGTCCTACAGCCGTCCTACCTTGTCCTACCTACACACTAGCCGTCCTACAGCCGTCAAGTCGTCCTACAGCCGTCAAGTCGTCCTACAGCCGTCAAGTCGTCCTACAGCCGTCCTAACTTGTCCTACCTACACACCAGGACGGCTACCTTGTCCTACCTACACACTTGTATCATGTATATATATCCTTGTAATCTTGTAGAGAAAGATAATGAGAAAAAAGCATTATCTTCCATTTTTTCCACATTCACGTATCAATAACAAATATATTTTTTAGCCTACATACCTTTTTCTACATGGTATACAGAGCAGGTTTATAATCCTAGCCCTAATTTTTTTTTCGGCAGCTTTCTCTGCCGTTCCCATGGCTGACTCTTCTTCTTCCGATGGTGTTTTTTATCATTCCGACCACTCGAATCTTGTCCTTGTATCCAAGAAGTTGAATGGTGATAACTACACATCCTGGGCATGTGGCATGCAGCTTTCCTTGAGTGCCAATAATAAACTTGGTTTCATCACTGGCGATATCCAAGAACCTTCTTCCTCCGACGACCCTGATGCTCACGCGACTTGGCGTCGTTGCAATGACATGATTCTCTCTTGGCTGCTGCATTCGTTGGAACCTGACCTTCAAGAATCTGTGCTTTTTTCCACCTCTGTCCAAGCTGTATGGGATGATCTTCACGAACGCTTCTCTCAGAGTAATGCTCCACGCATCTTCCAACTCAACCGGGAACTTGCTACAATTTCTCAAGGTTCTTCTTCTATCTCCGCCTATTTTACTCGCCTGAAAGCTCTCTGGGATGAGCTTGCTTCTTATAATGATGGTTGCACGTGCTCTTGCAACACCAAACATGACCGTCAACAACTCATGCAATTTTTAATGGGCCTCAACGAATCCTTTGCTGCTGTTCGTGACCAGATTCTTTTAATGAATCCCCTTCCCACTGTTCGTCAGGCCTGTTCCTCGGTGTCTCAAGCTGAAAAACAACGCTCCCTGGGCGTCATCCGCTCTGTCGATCAACCTGCTACCATGGCTGTTCGTGGCCCGTCCCGTCCCTCATCTGCTCGTCCTCCCCTCCACTGCACCTACTGCAATTTTGATTATCATACCCGAGACACCTGCCATAAACTTCATGGCTATCCCGTTGGCCATCCCCTCCATGGCCAACCGTGGCGACCACCGCGCCGTGCCACTGCTTCCAGTTCTTCCCGCAACCATGCACCTTCCAGTCCTCCCCGGCAACCACGGTTTTCTGCTTCCCGGCCCCATAATTTCACCCAGGCCCATCACGTGTAAAGCACCCAGGCCCCCGCCTCCTCTTCTACTCCAGCGACCCACCAAGTGCACGGAGCCCAGCCCACTTTGCATGACTTGCAGCTTGCCATGCCTGACCTCTCTGCCGAGCAGCACTCTCGTGTTCTAGCTGCTCTATGTGACACCACCACCCCTCCTCAGGCCAATGCCGTGCTCACTACTGATTTTGCCCAAGGTTTGTTACCTGTCACCTCTCGTCATGGTCAATGGATTCTTGACAGTGGTGTTATGGATCATATTACTTCTTCCGCCTCATGTTTGGTTAATCGTTCTCCTTCACATTTGCCGTCTGTTTCTTTGCCTAGTGGTGCTTCCGCTCCCATTACTTTTACCGGCACTCTTCCTTTAAATTCATCAGTTACTTTGAAGGATGTTTTATGTGTCCCTAATTTCCGAGTGGACCTTTTATCGGTTGGTAAACTTACAGATGGATTATCGTGTTCCATAACCTTCTTTCCTTCTTGGTGTGTTTTGCAAGACTTGGTTTCGAAGGCGATGATTGGTGTGGGTAAGCGACGTGGCGATCTGTATTACCTTGTGGCCCTTACCTCTTCTCTCCCCACCCGTCAACCTCTCTGCAACATCATTACCATCCCCTCCTCCCTCTAGCATAGGCGTCTTGGTCACCCCTCCTCCACTCGTTTGCAAGCTTTAGCATCTAGCTCTCTTAATTGTACTTTTGATTCTAGTCATATTTGTGATGTTTGTCCGTTGGCAAAACAAACTCGTCAACCTTTTCTTTTGAGTTCAGTTTCATCAACTTTCCCTTTTGCTTTAATTCATTGTGATATTTGGGGCCCGAATCATCAATCTTCTCTTTCTGGTGCTCATTATTTCTTAACCATTGTGGATGATTTTTCTCGCTTTACGTGGGTCTTCCTCATGAAACATAAATCTGACACTCAACAATTAATTAAGGATTTTTTTGCTTATGTCACTACCCAATTCCGCACTACCATCCAATGCATTCGTACTGACAATGGTGGTGAATTTTTATCTCTTCGTAGTTTTTTCTCTGATCATGGGGTGCTTTTACAAACTTCTTGTGTTTATACCCCCCAACAAAATGGCGTTGTTGAAAGAAAACATCGTCATCTTCTTGAAACCGCTCGCGCCCTTCGTTTTCAATCTCATCTTCCTATCAAGTTTTGGGGGGAATGTGTTCTTACCACTACTTATCTCATCAATCGTCTCCCTACCCATCTTCTCCATCATAAATCCCCATTTGAGGTTCTCTTTTCGAAAACCCCATCTTATGACCACTTCCGCGTCTTTGGTTGTCTGGCATATGCCACCTCTGTCACTCCCACCACCAAATTTTCCTCTCGGGCTCATCGTTGCATTTTTCTCGGTTATCCTCATTGACAAAAGGCCTATACCCTTTACGATCTCGACAATCACCGCATTTTCACTAGTCGAGACGTCATCTTTCACGAAACTACTTTCCCTTATGCCGTTTTTCACCCTCCTATCCCATCCTCTTCGCCTACCCTACCCATCCCACCCCCTCTGGACTTTACATATAACCCACCCCTTCCTGCCCCGACGCCTCACCCTCCTCCACCTTCCTCCCCTTCCACGCCTCCCACAGATTCCCTTGCTACCCCATTACCCGTTCTTCCCCATGCCCCTTTACCCACGGACATCCCTACCCCCCCACTACCTACCAATCCTCCCCTTCCCCGCACCTCTTCCCGTGCCCATAAACCTTCATCCTATTTAAAAGACTACGTTTGCTCGCAGGTGATTCTGCCATCCCACCCATCTTCGACTTCGCAACCCGGTTCTACACAAGGTACGCGATATCCACTTTGTAATTTTCTCTCTTATCACCGTTACTCTCCCAGGCATTTTTCTTACATTAACTCTGTCAGTCGGACTGTGGAGCCTTCCTCCTTTGCCGAGGCTGCCACTGACCCCAATTGGCAACGTGCTATGACTGAGGAGCTTCAAGCTTTACATGCTAATGGTACTTGGACTTTAACTTCCTTGCCCCCTGGCAAAATTCTCATTGGTTGTAAGTGGGTGTACAAACTCAAGCACAATTCCGACGGCTCTATTGACCGCTACAAAGCTCGTTTGGTTGCCAAAGGCTTCACTCAGGCTGAAGGTATTGATTATCATGACACTTTTTCTCCTATTGATAAGATGATTACGGTGCGTTGTCTTCTTGCTCTTGCTGCTAGTCAGTCTTAGTCTCTTCATCAGCTTGATGTTAATAATGCTTTCTTACATGGTGACTTACATGAAGAAATCTATATGTCTCCTCCTCCTGGTCTTCGGCGACAGGGGGAGAATCTTGTGTGTCGCCTTCACAAGTCACTTTATGGTCTTAAGCAAGCTTCTCGCTAATGGTTTGCCAAATTCACTAGTGTCATCATTTCTGCTGGTTTTTAACAATCCAAAGCTGACTATTCATTGTTCACTAAAAAGTCTGGTATTTCTTTCACAGCTTTGCTCATTTATGTGGATGATATTGTGATTACAGGCAATGATGCTAGTGCCATTAATTCTCTGAAGTCTTTTCTTCGTGATCATTTTCGGATAAAAGACCTTGGTGATTTAAAATATTTTTTGGGTATTGAGGTTTCTCGTTCCAAACAAGGGATTTATATTTCTCAACGCAAGTATGCATTAGAGATTCTCAAGGACTATGGTTTTTTGGGAGCACGACCCATTGCTTTTCCTATGGATGACCAAAATTATCTGATAAAGGAGAACTTCTCAAGGATCCTGAAAAGTATATACGATTAGTAGGTCGGTTAATATATCTCACTATCACTCGGCCGGATATCACTTATTCTGTGCATGTTCTAAGCCGTTTTATGCACGAGCCAAGGATATCTCATATGGATGCTGCGCTTCGTATTGTTCGTTATTTGAAGGCTACTCCAGGTCAAGGTTTATTATTTCGTTCTGACAACCAGACCAAGTTAACTGCGTTTTGTGATTCTGATTGGGCAGGTTGCCTTATCACTCGCCGTTCGACTACTGGGTATTGTGTATTCTTGGGCGGTTCTTTGATTTCTTGGCGGACGAAACGACAGAAAACCGTTTCGCTCTCTTCAGCAGAGGCGGAATATAGGGCAATGGCAGGTGCTTGTTGCGAGATAGTTTGGCTTCGTTTTTGTTGAAGGATTTGAACATTCCTTTGGATGGTCCTTCCATTTTATTTTGTGATAATCAAGTAGCGTTACATATAGCTGTCAATCCTGTTTTTCATGAACGAACTCGTCACATTGAGATGGATTGTCACTTTATACGAGATAAGATTGTAGATGGCACAATAGAGACCAAGCATGTGGGTACGGCACAACAGTTGGCAGACTTGTTTACCAAACCTCTTGGGAAAGAAAAGTTTTCGGGTATGTTACGCAAGTTGGGAGTTCTTGACATCCACTCTCCAACTTGAGGGGGAGTGTTAGACAAATAAGGAATATGGTTGGAGTCCTTGTGTAATTGTATATAATATTATTCACTAGCCGTCCTACAGCCGTCAAGCCGTCCTACCTTGTCCTACCTACACACTAGCCGTCCTACAGCCGTTAAGTCGTCATACAGCCGACCTACCTTGTCCTACCTACACACTAGGACGGCTACCTTGTCCTACCTACACACTTGTATCATGTATATATATCCTTGTAATCTTGTAGAGAAAGATAATGAGAAAAAAAGCATTCTCTTCCATTTTTTCCACATTCACGTATCAATAACAAATATATTTTTTAGCCTACATACCTTTTTCTACACAACGGTCCCTATTTATTTGTTTGGAAGGACATGGGCCACCGATATTTTTAAGAGAAATGCAAACATCTTTTCAAATGAACCGTAAATTTAAGGAGGTCATTTAACATGTCTTCAAGAAAAACAAGAAACACAAAAGCAAGAAACACTGCGGATTAAATATCTGCAGCGACACGTTTGTATAACTGTGATGGCAGCCTAGGAGTAGGCACGGCTTGTAACGGGGTTCTCATGTATGTGACGAGCCCTGGATTTTCCGACATATCAATCTCCTCCGGCTTCGCCCCTTCCGCCGGAGTCCAATTAAAATGGTGTAATAGGTGGCCCAACATAGAGGTCACTAAATTGTTACCAAGTTGGGCTCCAGGGCATACTCGCCTTCCCGCTCCAAATGGAAGTAGTCTAAAATCATGCCCCTTCATGTCCACGTCCTCCTCGAGGAACCTTTCGGGTCGGAACTCATTTGGGTCTTTCCAAACAGCTGGGTCACGCGCTACTGCCCAAACATTTACGTGAACGTTCGAACCCTTGGGGATGTCGTAGCCGCCGATGTTAACGTTGGCATTGGCTCGGTGGGGGAGCATTAGTGGTGTTGGAGGGTGCAACCGTAGGGCTTCCTTTGCTACACATTGTAAGTAAGGGAGGCTGGAGAAATCAACTTCGGTCATGACCCGTTCGACCCCAATAACCCCATCCAGCTCCTCTTGAGCCTTTTGTTGCACCCTTGGATTCTTGATCAGCTCGGCCATGGCCCATTCAACAGAAATGGCTGTGGTGTCCATACCTGCAGTAATCATGTCCTGCAGACGCGACACAATTATTAGAAATATTCAGGAAACTACACGGTGATAAAGTTGGAGTGTGAAAATCATTTTCCAAAAGCCTTTTAATAACTGCTCACCCAAAGAAGTCCAATAATTGTGTCCTCACTGAGGTCATATTTATCTTGCAATGTAAGCAACGCATCCACAAAATGTTGCTTGGCACCACCACTCTTGTTGCGTGCTTGTGTGTGCTCCTCCATGATAGCCCTAGTGAGCCGGTCTCGTCGTGCCCCGTGCTTGGCAAATGCCTCTTCCTCCAGGGGGAACATCCACCGCAACCACGGAATGTGCTCCGCCATGGCAAGCGATGCGCCAAGCTTTAGTCCGTTGGCTACGATGGCCTTGAATTCTAGCCCTTGCTCATCAATTACATCCTCTGAGTTAACAAAACGTTTTCCAAATGCTAGCCTTGTTATGTTGTTAAAAGCCACTGCTCCCAAGTACTTCCTCACTATCAAACTTTTTCCATAGTTTTCTGCATTAGGAGAATTAAAGTCAACGACTATCATTAATCAAAGAAATATGTGCATACGACACTGTGGGCTAGTATTGTAGTTAGTGAGACTAAATTTACAAACTAAATTATATGTCACCAATAACAAATAAGCACGTTGATCATCACTCAAGTAATAATCCAATCATCAACTTTCATTTCAATTAGTTTACAAAAACTTGGTATATAAATTTATTTTCACTAGCATTAGCTAGATTACGGTCCATATTTACCAACCCACAGTGCTAATTTAATTAATTAATAAGTGACTTTATGATTACGAGAAATGCTAAAGGTTTTTTCTAAAAAAAGTGAAACTCTTTATGGACTCTTTGTCACTCTATGTTTTTTTTTTTATACAATGTGTTATAATGCTGGTATGAGAATTGATGTTAAATTATGACATGACAGAAAATCTATAAAGAGTCACTTTTAAGAGAATCCTCTTAACATTTCTCATGAGATATTGAGATGTATTGATCCAACGATGAGTCGATACATTATTATTAAAATTTAATACTTATAAGATACTAGTTTTATACGATCCATTGGTACAAGATTTGTAAACCTATATTTAATGCTTTAATATCAGTGTAAGGTTTGCGTTCAATGAGAGTGATCCTTATTTTTTAGTTTAATATATTGAACTCATGAGTATGATTTCTATACAATAATGATAAGAGAGAAAACAAGTGGCCAATTATAAAATAGAAAAAATGTAAAAGTAGACGAGTCCAATATTTAATATAAAAAACTAACTCCTTTCAAACTCACCTGTATCAATAGTGTAATACAAATCAAACTCGCACCTCTTAGTTCTTATTTATAAACATTAAACTCACATATGGAAAGCCTCTAATGCAATAAAAATGTCAGAGACAACAATTATATTTGATATCAATTTTTTATATTTTATTTTCTCTTCATTATGCATTGTAAAAGTTCGTCATGACTCTTAAGTCAAATACAAAGTTATATTTGACCATGTATTTAACTCGAAGATTTACAGTTGAAACTCCAATTAGAACCACTCTCAAATAAATTCCCAAGTGTACATATTGATATGTGTTATGCATTTATGGGGGCGTTCGTACTAGGCCATTTGTACGATACATACACTTTTTCCAAATATATGAAGCTCTCCTTACTTTTGAACCAGTTGTCCTCAAGTCATTTGTACGACACATACACTTTTTTTCCAACTGTATGAAACTCTTCTTAATTTTGAACCAATTGTCCTAATAGTCAACTCTACCGAAAATTCTCTTTTTCATTTATGAGAATCGAAATTATATCATTATCATAAATAAGAAGCTTATGGACCAATGGATCCATAGAACTCACTAGGATAAACCCTCATTGCCCAGCCTGAAAGCGAACAGCTAATGCGATTCACTTGATTCACTTACTGGACAACATAGAAATTCTATGGTCGGTCCATAAATTTTAGGTTTCATCACTGACCATATAATGTAGTCACAAGGGCCCAAATGGGCAGAAACATATTTGGGAAGCTAGATGCTGTTCAAGGTCAAGGAAACACGACATATGTGACAAAGCACCTTGTCAAAGTGCTTACTATCGTTGACTTTTCCCTTCTTTTCCCTTCATTCCCTCCCACGATACCCCAAACTAGTGGACCAATTTGATAACATATATTGACAGCGAATAAATCAAAACCAAACGACTCTTCCTGCACCATATTTTAGTTGACCAATTTGATAACATATATTGACAGCGAATAAATTAAAGGGAAAATTTTTCGGTACTGTTTATTTTAACGAAAATTATATTTTTATACTAAAAAATCAATCATGATACTATTCATTTTATCCTTTATTTTGTCTTTATCGTTAAATCTCAAAATTTTCAAGCATTTTCATTAATTTTCCTTAAATTAAAACCAGAATGCTTATTCCCTCACTATATTATATATATATATATATATATATATTATACAAGAGAACAAAAAATTTCACTGCTGATTTTCGTCGTTTGAACAAAAACAAAACAACAATTACTTGCAAAAAGTAAAATGTTCAATAATGTTACATATTGTTTTACAATTTCATTGAAATTTACCATTCATTTCTTGTAAAGATAATATAAGAATTGGCCAAAATGATCACTTTTCAAAATTCAATTGTTGAAATTATCGGTTTTTTAGTATATCGTTAATATCAGATTTTTATTCATTAACATCAAATAGCTATGTCATTTATATTTGATCGTATACTGTAGTTATTTAGTTTGGACTTTCACAATTGAAATTTAACTTATAAGATCATTTTGGCCAATTTTTTAAGGTAATAACGGTTAATTAACAAAAAAAAATTGATTGTGGCATATGAAATAAGTAAATTCATGAAAATATATATATATATATATATATATATATATATATATAATTAGAAGCCATACGTACCAGGATTGGCGCAGTGTTTGAAAATGGACTCAACCATGGCGGTGACCTCATCTTCCCTAATGGGTCGGAGAGCCTCGATCCTCCTGGGAGAGAAGAGCTCCAGAGTGCAGACCTTCCTGACCTTGACGTAGTGGGGTCCGTAGTCAGCCCAGATAAGATCCTGACCGTCCTTGCTAAACTTCGCGGCCGATCTGCTCCGATGCCGGTCCGCCAGCTTCTGGTCGTGCTCCTTGAGTACCTCCTTGGCCAGCTCCGAGCTCGACACCACCACGTTCAGCGTGGACCCCGTCCACACCGATATGATGGGGCCGTATTCCTGGGCCCACTCGGCGTAGCAGCGGAACCTGACGGGCTTTATGTCGTAGAGGTTGCCGACGATCGGCCATGCACGCGGGCCGGGCGGGAGCTTGAATCTGAGCCTTTGGTAGAGCTTGTAGGCGAGGGAAATGAGAATGATGATTGATGAGATGGGAAGTAGTAGCCCGCCGGAGAGAGCCATGTTGGATTGATTGAGCAAATTAAGGTCAGAGTTGGAAGGAGATTGATATATATGAAAGACAATTGGGATGGAGTTGGTGAATGGACTTGTACCAGGGGGAGAGAGAGAGAGAGTGGGTGACCCACTAAAGGCGTATGAAATTTGGAGCAGGGAGTTGGTGAGTGAAAGTGAAATGTACCAACTCAGATGTGCGAGGAGATACTTTGAAATTGCTTTTAAAATGATTGAAAATATTTTTGAAGTAAATAATTTTATTTTCAAAAGCACATAAAAGGTTGGCTTGTTAGGATATGTTTTTAAAATGATTAAAAGTGTTTTTCGAGAAAATATTTTTGGATTCTAATAGTACTTTAAGTATTTTCTGCAAGAATCACCAATTATGTGCTTCTTCCAGAAAGCATTTTAAGTATTTTTCCAGAATTTACTTGCATTTTTACTAAGAATTGGTTCAAAAAATATTTCCACCAAAAGTGTTTTTAATCATTTTAAAATCACATCCAAACAAGCTCGCATAAAATAAAAAATGTTTTTTTTAATCAAAATTTATTTATTATTTTAGTAATAATTTATTCTAAAATATACTTTTACTAAAAACGTTTTCAACTATTTTTGAGGCGTACTACTTTTAGATGGAGACTGATCAACATATTGCGCCAGCTGAAATAGAAAATAGTAGTTACCCGAGGGTAAGGTTGGATTGCTAATCCGTGTATTATTGATTGATGTGGTTCGTGGCTGAGTGCGGTGGGGGAAGGAAGTTATTGGGTTATGGCGGTTGGTGAAGACTTTTTTATCTTTCTTTTTGTGTACTTATATTTTGTTGGATGGTGGTTGGTAAAGCTAGAATCGATGGTAGGGACTTCATCAAGCTCTGCGTAGGGATGAAGGAATCAAAGGTTGGTGATGATGTTACTGGATAAACAGAAAAAGGTAAGAAGTATTGTAGGTTCAAAAAAGCACTTGATGTGTGTCGCACTTCAAGTTCTTTGGTGTTGCAAGTTTATAGAAGGAATCATTTGGGTTCCCTTGTATTGACATGTTGAGAGTTGTTATCAAAATTTAGCATTGCGAACTTCAGCACGTCTATAAAGATTTTTTTTTGTGGTGGATAGTTTGGCTAATTATAATTTTACTTTAGATTTAGGTAATTTTTATTTTGATAATATTACTTTTTGTTCCGATAGTTTTGTTAGTGAAGATCAATTTAGGACGTCTCAGTCCAGATTTATTATTGAATACTTTTGGTTGGACTTTTAGCCCCATTTTTCCCCAAAAAAAAAAAAAAAAAAAACTAGTATTTTCAATAAAAATTTCAGTGTGCTTTTAATAGAAGCGCTTATGAGTAGAAGTTTTTTGTTTTTTTTGAATTTTAAAAGCACAAGTTCTGAACGAGTGTACTCTAGAACTCGTTAACAATTACAGTCCAAATAGAAATTATGTTAGTCTTCCTTAAAAGGAAGGAGTTAATTTCATTATTTAAGGTACTTGAAGCCAAGAACATGTTCCATACGAGTTGGGTCTTGGTCAGTCTCTACTCAAGTATTCTTAAGTCTCATCTTCTTAAATTTAGCAATCTTTGTATTCATACATGACCAGTGTTGCTCATGGACGTCTTCAATCAATTTCCATTGCGTCTATACATTTGTTCTCGTCTTCCTCACCACCAGGAGCTTCAGGCTCATGCCAACATCCTCCTCGACGAACCTTTAGTCGAACCCTTGGGTGTGTCGAAGCTACCAATCTTGACGTTTGCATTGGCTCGACGAGGGAACAGTAGTGGTGTTGGTGGGTGCAACCGTAGCGCTTCCTTTGGTACACATTGTAAGGCAGGCTTGAGAAATCTACTTCGGTCGTGACTCGTTCGAATCCGATGACCCGATCTAACTCCTCTCGCGTCTTTTGTTGCACTCTTGGGTACTTGATGAACTCAGCCATGGCACATCCAATTGAAAATGGATGTGGTGTCCATACCCGTTGTAATTATGTCATGCAAAAAAAGAAATAATTAGGTCATTCTATACTTTTCACTCTCGTTTTCTCCTTCCTCACTTCTCAGTTTGTTTTTTGTTCCTTGATTCATCGTTGATTTATTCAATCATGTGAATGGATGTGGTGTTCATGCCCGTTGTAATCATGTCATGCAAAAAAAGAAACAATTAGGTCATTCTATACTTTTGACTCTCATTTTCTCCTTCCTCACTTCTCAATTTGTTTTTTGTTCCTTGATTCATCGTTGATTTATTTAATCATGTGACTAAATATAAGAGGAAGACTAGCCACAAGCGGATAAAAGAGTGTGGAAATCATTTGCTGATACCATATATTACCACTCACCCAAAGAAGTCCAATAATAGTGTCCTCACTAAGGTCATACTTATCTTGCAATACAAGTGACGCATCCACAAAGTTTTGCTTGGCACCACTGCTCTTGTTGTGTGCTTGTGTGTGCTCTTCGATGATTGCCCTAGTGAGCCGGTCTCGTCCTGCCCTATGCTCGGCAAATGCCTCTTCCTCTGGGGGGAACATCCACTGCAGCCATGGAATCTGTTCCGCCACCGTGGCAAGCAATGCGCCGAGCTTTAGTCCGTTGGCTACAATGGGCTTGAATCCTAGCCTTTGCCCATTTGTTACTTCCTATGAGTTAACGTTTCCCAAATGCTAGCAGCTTGTTATGTTGTTGAAAGCCACTGTTCCCCAATACTAGCCGTGGCATGTGTAGTTTTGGTGGCTGAATCAGGAGACCAACTTGTATGACACAAATACATTGCCATGATGGTATTTGTGCTGTTTCCACTTTGGCTTCCGGAATTGGTGAGTTTTTTAGTATGCCGGAACATCACCTACTCACAAACAAGAAAGGTGATGATCTTTAGCTTTACTTGTGCAGGTCCGTACGCCATGTCATTATATAAGTGGAAGGATACTTGAAAAAAAAATCTTCTTCACTTGTATAATGACCTATGACGTATCATTCTGTGTTTCCGGCACATTAAAAACATCTCTGCCGGACTTGCTACATGTGCACACTCCTTGGGCCAATTGGGCTTTCATTCTTTTTAGCCAGATTCTATTCAGCCCGCCATTTGGAGAATACAGTGTTTGACAAAAATACCAGAAACCATTTCATCATACAGTCGTCGTCGGAGGCCATTTCGCTGGAAAAAAAGCAGAGAGAGAGCGAGGGAGATCAGATGGCGACGACGGCGTGTTTCATCATCGTCAGCAGAAACGACATCCCTATTTACGAAGCTGAAGTCGGATCCGCCGCCAAAGTATCGTTCTTTCTCTCTTTCCCTTTCAATTTCTGATTTCCATTGCTTGATTCAACGTGAAAATCAATCAAATTATTTCTCTCGAAATCTCATCACCTTAAATCGAATTTTCAATTAATTAAAGTGGATTTCTTCATTTCTTGGCAATCTCTGCATCTACAATGCTTGCTTCAATTTCTGTTATTTTTGTTTAATGATTCAATTTCTTATGTTTGTTTAATGATTATTTAAGTAATCTAAACTGCGGGGAGGGGGATTCAAACTCGGGTGTTCAGCGGAATGCATTCGCGCTAGGCAATGTAGTTAATGATTTGTAAATTCATCAGAATATTTGTGTTTGTATGACTAAGTACTCAGATGGGTAATGGGTGTTGGTTTGACACTTTGACACAGAGGGAAGATGCTGCTCAGTTGCATCAGTTCATATTACATGCCGCTCTCGATATTGTGCAGGACCTTGCCTGGACCACCAGTGCCATGTGAGCCAGCAACTTTTTTCTGTACCCTTTATGCTCCTCTCCTTGACTCGTTTACGCATATTATTGACCTTTGTGACATTTTCGGTGCAGGTACTTGAAGGCAATCGATCGCTTTAATGATCTGGTGGTTTCCGTCTATGTTACGGCTGGTCATATCCTTCATATTTTCAGTTCAAATATTTGTGTCAACTCCATCTATCTTAGAATTGTATGTTTATTGATGATGTGCTATTTTCTGTGCCAGTTCTTGGGCAACTCCTTCGTTTTTTTAAATCAAGAAAGTATCTTTAACTTATAACAGTGATAATGTCAGCAGATGTCATAACTACGATGCCAAATATATATACTTATGTTGTCTTCAATTTCCAAATTCATTGCTGTTGCCATAGTTGTCAAGGCTGAGTGAAAGGTCTCCTTTTTTTTTTTTTGTGCCTATTTGTACTCTGTTAGGTAGCTTACAGTTTCCAGTTTGACATTTTCTTTAACTATGCATACATACACGACTTATGCTACTTCATGACTCTCGTAACGATGATGGAATCAAGAGCTTCTTCCAAGAGGTTCATGAGCTTTATATCAAAGTAAGTCACTACATACCATCAGCCCTTTGTTTAAAGTTCATTTTTACAATTCCGCAGATTCTTAATGTTTGATGTGTTCTTTGTGGAATCCCTATGTCATCTACACTCTATACTTCTAATCTTGTAGCCTTGGGATGGCATGAGATGAATCGAGGTGAACTATGTATTTTCTGCTATGCGTTTTGTAATTAGGAAAAGTAGAAGTTGGATGACTAAATTTTAATTATTGTTGCTTAGTAAAAGGGCTAGTTCTCATTAGAAAGCACGTAGTTACAGTGCCTAGGCACCCAAATCAATTTGATTCATATAGAATGCATGGTTCAGAATCTCTGTTTTTTGAAGACTATTTATAGTTCAGTGTTTCTCTGGAACTATAAATGCATTGGGAACCAAAACAATGCAAGGGATTGAAATATGAATAGGTGAATAGTCTTAGAAGTTAGAGAGTAGAAATTCACTGGCAATATCACTGAAAGGAAAATATGTAGAAAAAATATACACGTGTGTGGGCATTCTAAATCCTGCATCATGGAGGTACACGTTTGGCAACCTTGTATTAAGTCCAAATATGAATAACATCGTTTTCATTTGTGTATTACCATTAACAGTGTTTGCAATCTCGTTTTTCTCATTGCGTGTTTTTGTGAATACCTATTTGTAACCCACGGGATTGACATCAGGCAGGGTTTGGATTGCCGGTCCAAAAATACTTCGCCTTTCTAAGGAATTTAATTTTGCCTGGATTGCATCTTTCCACTTAGGTCAATCTTTTTTCTGTTTGCATTCATCAACAGAACAGGGCTCAATATCATATCATCGCTTAATATGATTTCAGTCGCTATTGCGAATGCAAACATGTTGTCGATGATTATTTTATTTTGATCCCACAATTCGTTAGTACATGCATAATTTATGAAGATTTCTTTGCTTTCATGTACTTCCGTCTCTTCAGGGACATGTGTCTCATCAAGGACTTTTTTTTTCTTCTGAAAGTTCAAAGGAAATTGAAATTCCACTTTTATTGAATTGAAATGCGAACTTTAAACTACAAGTTCATAATAATAAGACTACATCAAACATAAATGATTCAATTGGACCGATACACTTCATTCCCTCTTTCTACAATGAAATATGAGACATTCAGGTGTGTTGTGTTCAATTACCCTGATAAATCAAAACATTGGATCAAGTATATCTATCAGTTTAGTCTGGTCGATGAAATTGGTTTCAACAACTTTCTCCTTGAGGGAGACTTGATACAGGTCCACTAGATATTTTGGGGTACGACAGTTACGCGCTCAGTGTTCATTGCCATTGCACTTATGGCAAACTCCTTCAGGATTTCTAGGAAAGCCTTTGTGGCGCTTTGCATTCTTGAAGTTCGGGCCTGAATTATACCTTAGAATCTGGTTGTGAAATTGGACATCATAATTCTTGCCTTTCTCATTCCACTGACCTCGCTTGTACCCATGTCCTTGTTTGTAATTATTGCTATGAGAGGATGTGGTATTTACTTCAAGAGAAACAACATTCATTTCTGGGACTGGTGCTGATCTAGTAGGTCGGGTCGGGAGTAATGATTCTTCATTAGAAGGTCATTGTTTTGTTCAGCCACAAGAAGCACATATATCAGCCGGTTGTACTCAGTAAAGTTTGGCTCTTTATATTGCTGCTGCAGGAGCACGTTGGAGGCATGAAAGGTGCTGAAAGTCCTTTTCAACATATCTTCCTCAGCGATAGTTTCCCATATAAGCTTCATTTAGGAGCTAATTCTGAACATTGCAGAACTGTACTTAGCCACCAACTTGAAATTTTAGATTCTTAGGTGAGTCCACTCATAACAAGCTATTGGAAGAATCATCGTTTTCCGGTGATTGTATCTATTTCTTAGTGCCTTCCAGAGGGTTAATGGATATTCAGTCGTTAGGTACTCGCTCTTCAGTCCTTCATCAAGGTGGCGACGGATAAAGATCATGACCTTCGTTCGATTTTGAAAAGATACAATGTTCTCCTTCTTGATGGTTTATCCAATATTCTCTACCTCTAGATGAATCTTGGTATCCACTACTGTAAGGTAGTTCTTTCCAATAATGTTCAAGACAACAAAATGAAGCTTTGATAAGTTCGTCATTTAAAAAAAAAAAAAAAAAAGATGTGTAAGAATTTGCAATAATATGTATTATAGAGGAATATGGTGTTAGAACTTCTGGTTCTTACAAATTTTTCACGCTTGAAATTTCAAGCTCGAGATTTACATGATTAATGAGAATGATTGTAACGTACCTTTCATTGAAACAATATAGCATAAGATGAGCGATTGTACCGCACCACCTAAAATTGCAGTAAACTTAAATCTGCGGTTCAAGATGGGCAATGATACCACATCATCTTCGATCACAGTAAAATTAACATAAATAAACATTAGGTTAATAATCAGGAGTTACACCAACATGAAATCAAAGATATAAGTAATTGTTATATTGAGAACTAGAAGCAGGCATGATGTTCTTCGCGATGATACATCCAGCAAGTGAGGCAGAAGAGGAAGAAGAACAGGAAAATCCTTGAAGGAAGCATTTTTCAGCGAATGGAGATGAGAACTCATTAGGGTTAGAGAGTCGTGCTGATAGCGTGTTATAAATAAGCAAAAGTTAGAGAGATAACCTTTGCTAAAGACAGGGACGAAGTGATTACAAAATATTATACTGTTTTGTTTCGTAACTATAACAGAAATGGATTGTAGATAAAGAGGAAATGAGAGATACTGATATTATTACTTTTAGTTTTTTTCTCTTTCGGTTGCTGTGTATTAATCACCCACAGAGTGCTCTATTTATAGAGCCATATTTGTGAAAATTTACATAAAATGAAAAGTCACACTCGTGACAAACCAAACAACACCGGTGACATTGCACTTTTAGAAAAAACACCACACAACAAACTATTTCCTACTATTTCCAAGTCTACCTTATTGTGTGGGCATTCATTTATCCACCGATTTTACAACATAATTCATATTATAATATGTTGGTACGAGAATTCACGTTAAACTGTGAAGTGGCAGAGAGAACATAAAGTCTCATTTTTTTGAGTCTCCTAAGCATTTCTGTACCAATAAAATGGAAAATTTTGCTAGTCATAGATGGACTTGGAACACATATTAGACGAAAAACAGTACTCAGGATTGTGCAAATACTGCTTTGAAAGAATATGCAAATTTGTATACATACGTGTCAAAAGATTAACAGAACAAGTGTGTACATTATCAAACAAAATTATTTCCAAGGTGTTGTAAAATTGGTGGATGAATAAATGCCCACAAAGTAAGGTAGATTTGGAACTAGTAGGGAATAGTTTGCTGTGTGGTGCCTTTTTAATGTCACGGGTTTGTCTTTTCACCTAAGAATCCAGGATTTCATGTTGGTAGAGGCCGGAAATCTTGGAGAAACTATCAAGGAGAACAATGCATCTTCTCAAGATCGGGCGAATGCCATGGTCTTTATCCATCATCACCTTGATGAAGGACTGAAGAGCGAGTACCTAACGGTTGAAAATCCATTAGCCCTCTAGAAGGCACTGAGAAATAGATATAATCACCAAAAAACGATGATTCTTCCAAGTGCTTGTTATGAGTGGACTCACCTAAGAATCCAGAATTTCAAGTTGGTGACAGAGTATAATTCTGCAATGTTAAGATTAAGCTCCATATAAAACTGTGGGGAAATCTTCACTGAGGAAAATATGCTGGAAAAAATTTTCAGCACCCTTCATGCCTTCAATGTGTTTATGCAGTAGCAGTATAGAGAACGATGCTTTACTGAGTACAACCAGCTGATATATATTCTCCTTGTGGCTAAACAAAACAATGAGCTTCTGATGAAGAATCATCAGTCCCAACCTACTGGATCAACATCATTTCCAGAAATGAATGTTGTTTCCCTTGAAGTGAATACCACATCCTTTCGTGGCGATAATTACAAGCGAGGATGTGGCCATAAGCGAGGCCGGTGGAATGAGAAAATCAAGAATCATGGTGTCCAATTTCGCAATTAGGTTCCAAGGCATAATTCAGGCTTCAGCTTTAAAACATTTGGTTGACCTATATCAAGCATGAGAAGGGTGTCAAAACGAATTTCCTCGACCAGGCTAAACCAATGGATATACGTGATCCAGTGTTCGATTTATCAATGTAATTGAACACAACCTACTTGGATGTTGCAGACTTCATTGTGGAAAGAAGGAATGAAGTGTATCGTTCCGATTGAATCATTTATGTTTGATGTACTCTTATTAATATGAACTTGCAGTTTAAAGCTCACATTTCAATTCAATAAAAGTGGCATTTCAATTTCCTTTAAACTGTTTTTAACTGTGATTCCCTTACTCAGAAAGCATAGATAAAAACGATGGTTATTCTCAAAACAAGAGCAATGGCGGATGTGTTTGTCTTGCAGATAACGTAATCATGCATACAATACTTCGAGATTGAAAATATTTCTCAAGTTTGATGCTAACAACAATATTACGTCAATCAGATATAATTGAAGACTTAGGGAAAACTCAGATCATGTTACTAAATGGAACAATAGTGTCCATACAAAATGCGTTGTATGCTACTTGATCTACTCGAAATTTGTTGAGTTTTAAAGACATACATTTAAATGGATACCACACTGAAACGAAAAGTGCAAAAAATATGGAATATCTATGCATTACCTCTAGTGATACCCAGAAGTATATATTGGAGAAGTTGAATGGTTTATCGAGTGGATTGTATTGTACATACATAAAGATAATTGAAGCACATACTGTTAGGGATCAGAAGTTCATTGATTCAAAAATTTATATGCTTTAGCATGACTGTCTGGGTCATTCAGGATCCACTATGATTTGTAGAATCATTACCAACTCTAATGGACATCTATTATTGAGCATACACATTGCTATTTCAAATGATAACCCCTTGCAGGCTTTTTCTGAAGGGAAGTTGGTAATTAGACAATCTCCTGTAATGGAAGCAATTACATTTCGTTACTTACTAAGTTTGATGGTTTCAGAAAAACTTGACATGTGACCTATGGATGTCATCACTGTTTAACTATATGGAGAATTAGATACTGACATAGATATGAAAATACCAGAAGGACTTAAGTTGCTTGAAACGACTAACAAACCATGAGGTGTGCTCTCAATCAAATTAAGACGATCGTTATATGAAAGTACCAAAGAGCGATTGCTTTTGCTATCTATGATCTATTTTGCAAAAGAACGGAGAATTAGGTGAAGACCTCAATCATAGAATACAAACTAGATGGATGAAATAGAATAGTGCATCCGGCGTGTTGTGTGACCGTCGTATGCCACTGAAGTTCAAGGAAAAATTTTATAAGAAGGTAATAAGGTAGGCGATGCTGTATGGCACGAAATGTTGGATAGTGAAGCATCAACACGTACATAAAATGAGTGTAGCGGAGATGAGGATGTCCCGTTAGATGTGTGGTCACACGAGAAAGGATAAGATTAGGAATGAGGATATCCGAAGTAAAGTAGGAGTAGTCGAAATTAAAGGAAAGATGAGAGAAAATCGGTTATGGTGGTTTGGATATGTGCAAAGGAGGCCTATAGACGCTTCGGTTAGAAGATGCAACTATGAGACAGAGGTCCAGGGTCGAAGGGGTAGAGGAAGACCTAGGAAAATTTTGGAAGACTCTAAGAAAAGACTTAGAGTACTTGGATCTAACGGAGGACATGACACAGAACCGAGCGCAATGGCGTTTTAGGATTCATATAGCCGACCCTACTTAGTGAGAAAATGCTTTGTTGCTGTTGTATGGTTTTTTTCCCATTAACTTTTTCCAAGTAAGGTTTTAATAAGGCAACTAATGTTGATATGTGAGCATCCAAGGAGGAATGTTGTAAAATTGGTGGACGAATAAGGTAGACTTGGGAATAGTAGTGAATAGTAGAGAATAGTTTGTTGTGTGATGCTTTTTCTAAAAGTGTAATGTCACGGGTGTGATTTTTTATTTTCTGTAAATCTTCACGGATGTAGTTCTATAAATAGAGCATTCCGTTGGTGATCAATACACAACAATTGAAAGAGAAAAAAAACTGAAAGCAATAATATCAGTATCCCTTTTTTCCTTTTTTATCTGCAGTTCTTTTGTGTTATAGTTACGAACTAAAACAGTGTGATATTTTGCATCCGCTTCGTCCTTATTCTTAGCAAATGTTATCTATCTAACTTTTGCCTATTTATAACAAATTGAATGCAATTTGGGGTGGTAGCCAGTATCCTATCTTCAAACCTAAGAGCCTTCCAGCACAAGTCTCGTCTTTTAAAATACTTTTAAGATTTCTGTCAATGTGACTTGGTGGAGAAGCTTAAGCATGGGTTCTGTGGGTAAATAGTTTTCCCAAGCCTTATCTCTTATAGTGCATTTGGGTGTGGGAGTTTAAGAGTGCTAAAATTTCAAATCGATGACATTTAAAAACACGGGATAAGTTATAGCATTTGTAACATTTCTTGTTTGACTAACCTACATGATGAGATTTAACTACGAAATTCAAAGTTGTGTACGGAGGTATCAATTATTTGTAAATGGACGGTGGTGACGGCGGTTGCATAAAGTTTATGTTAGTAGTGGTGATGGTGCTAGTGGTAAAGTGGTGACATGGTGGTATAAATGGTGGGGGCGATGACGGTGGCTGGTGGTGTTAATGGTGGTTATAGTTATGTTTATGCCTTTTTTTTCTCTGTCTCCCTCATCTTCAGATGTTCGGATTGAGGTAGATTTTAAAGTTAGGATTCATGAAATCTAAGTACTGAGTTTTTGTCTTTCCTTTTCTGGTGAATCCAAATAAGGAAATTAGTTTGTTATTTCACAGAATCTTGAGATGTGTCTAAACACTGTTAATTATTTCGTTACACAGTTTCCATTTCCATTTCACACTGTTAATTGTTTCATTACACAATTTCCATTTCATAACACAAACACATGAACCGATCATTGACTCATAAGATGTTTGTGAATTTGCAGACTCTTCTGAATCCCCTGTACCTGCCTGGTTCGCGAATTGCGTCATCACATTTTGACACAAAAGTTCGTGCTCTTGCACGAAAATACCTCTAGGGGCCATGTATCTTGTGGGTGGATAAACTCGTGATTCTTTCGGAATGAGGTGCACAGCTTCCATGACTAGATGATTTTGAAACCTTTCCTTTTTGTTTCCTTTTCTGTGATTCGAGTTCAAGATTGCGACCTATAAAACACCATATTTAGCGTATCTTCATGCATTACAAGCATCTGGTATCGCATTTATATGTATGTCGTCACTAACAGTTGTATCTTAACACATGTTATTCATACTAACATCTTATAGTAGCCTTTGCGAGAAATTGTTGTTCTTTTGCTTCCCATATTCATTAGAGTGACGAAGGATGTAACTATTATTCCTCTGGTATTTCATTTGAGGTCAAAACTATAGGATTTAGTCGATCAACATTTGATTTTTTAGGGAGAAGCGAATGAAAGAGAGAAGTTTGTCCTAAAAGATCCAGGGTAATATGCGTGGAATTCGAGTGCACAACACACACAAAAGATAATTTAGCGATCCATGACGCATCTATCTTCTGTTGTCATCCTCATCGTCGTGCTATTGGTATCTCTCTGTTGCCTCTTGTTAATTTGGTGTCTATAATGATGGTGTAAACAAGAGAAAGGGGGACTCCACCGGGAGGCCGGAGGCCATTTCCGTGGCCTTCCGTGGAAACATACTACAAAACTTCACACGCACATTCAATTCGATTTGGTTCATGCATGATCTTTGGGGGAGTGCTTGATCGGTTCGATCATTTGGCCATAAGGCCGTAAGTAGAATGTGTCACAACACTTGCGTGCGAGTATGCCGATTATCCGTTCCTATGATACCAAATGAGTGACCGAAAACCACGTCTAACTACGTAATGCTGAACGACAGTAAAACACTTGTCAATAGACAATGCACGATTACATTACATGAAGAGTGATGAAAAGGGTCGTAAAAATAAAAAAAACTCAAGCCCAAATTCTCCAGAAATCCATAACTGACTTGTTCCCAGCAGAAGGGGTGGACAGAGAGGAGCGTGAGCGCTTCATCATTTCGAAACAACCTGCCATAGAAGAGATGAGATGAGAAGAGATGACTACATATGTTTTATCTTCCAGAAAATGGTACAAACAAGAACATGACATACTTTCTTCCGGTCGGTCTTCCTTTTCTTTGGAGCAGGTTCTTCACTACCACCCACCTGCCAAGAACCGAATACATGTACAATTTAACTACTAAATCAACCTTGAAAAATGGAGGTACGATGAAATGTTTAAGTAACATCGCTTCAATATAAAACCACCAAAAAAAAAAAAAAAAAAAAAAAAAACAATTAAGAACAAGCTTCTAATAGTGAAAAGAATATATGCAACCGTAAACAGGACCAGATTCTTACAATTTCTGGGCATTTATAATCAATACCAGCGGCCTCAATTTTCTTTTGACGCTTCAGATCTCTCTTCATAATCTTCTCCATTAACTTCTTGAGCTCTTCCACCGTTCTTTCCTGAAAAATCACCACCCAAAGAGGAAAAAGTTAAAAGACTGAAAGTCCTTGCAGATCTTTTGGGTATCGTCAAATGAGAAAACTTGCTAGAGGTTGCTTTCACGTCTGCAATGACTACCTTGTCATGCCTCTTCCGCTCAATGTGAACCCAGTTCACGGGTCTGACTCGGTAGTTGAAACCCTTCCATCTAAAAGTAAGCAAAACACAAATGATGAGCATTTATAGCTATAAAATTGATTAGTAAGGGGAAAACCAACCCATTTTTTCAAAGTTAGAATTATATTTTGGTAGGAGTACCAATAAAATTTCACTCTACAATATTTTAAAGAGACCAGCTACCAATTGAACAACTTCTAGTACCATCACTCCATGGCTTTATCATCACCAAACACCCACTAGAAAAATTGGCATGGTTGTTGATAGATACGTTCAAATTATTGAGACCATTACAAAAGACATCCACTTTTAGTTTTGGCAATGACAAGCCAACTCGAATTTCATACATGTCACAGTCGCTTTAATCCAGTAGTACTAGAGTTCGTATATGTCATATTGGATTTATTATCTATGTACTTGTTAAGTCAATCTACCAATACAAACACCGTACAATTCAACCACTGATACCTGGCCCTACCTTTTCCCTCCTCTAGCTTGATGACTGATCTATTTTTCAATTATCGAATTTAAACCATGAGAACTTTACCTACAATAAAAGTTCCCCTTAACTCTTTCATCCTTTCCCTCCATTCCCGTCTATGGTTTTCCACTGTCCTCAATTTTAAGTGACACAGAGAAATGAACGTGAAATTATTACCACTTGGGACTCAAAGCACACAGATGAACGAGTTGTATGATAGCAATTTTAAGGAACCATTGAACAGCCTAACCACAAAATACATATTTGGATTTACTATGAGAAAAATATCTTGGATGCCAAACTCTCATATCATAAAAGATAAACAAATAATTACTTACAATTTCGGGTGAACTTTCTGTGGAGGAATAAGATGGACTTGCAACACGTGTTCGAACAACAAATAGTTATGCATAGTGTCAGCTACAACTTTCGCCACCTGCAAACAAGGAAGGTAGTGTTAGCACCACAAAAAAGGAAACATTGCAGAGAAGAACAGGACTTTAGATAATAAATTCTAAGAAAATGAATACAACCTCAGGGTCCTCAAACTCAATGAAGCCAAAATGCTTCGATTTTCCTGTCTATTTAACATAAGATGAAAGGGAAAAATGAGTTAAAATCTGTGAAAAACATAATAATTACTGTAACTATGATACTGCATACTAAATGAACGAGAGGATCTTTAATCTGCAAATAATCACAAGTCCGGAAGGTAAGAAGGTGTTGCGGAATTACGTTCAAGAGTGATAAATACTATATTTATCTTCAGTTACAGGGAACAAAATACGTCCTCTAGCCATCAGTCAATGCATATTTTTTTCACTCCTTCCAAATGAGACGCCATCGATGAGCAAGGTATGATAATTGTAATGATTTGGAGTAGAGATTAAATATATATACAGAGAGATTATTTTCTATGTAAATATAACATCTTGATACACTTTATCCTCAAGGGGATTAATTTCTTAAAACACTTGATCTTCCTAATCTTAAATTATCTTAAAGGTTTTAACCCTAAACCCTATACATGTATCTTTATTTTTTATAAGATACCGTTGGAGTTTGTAAGGTGAAAAACAAATTTTTTTACAAACTCTCTTCAAACTTTATTCCTCTTGGAGCACTACCTTGATTTTCATCAAGGCTGATCACCCTAGGAGTACTACTTTCACTCCAAAATATCAAATTCTTTTTTCCATGATTATTTTTCAGCCTCGGTCCCTAATATCAAACTGAAGATTTCCACAGTGGCGAACCTCATTTGAGTTTCAACCCGCCCAATAATTAGTTCACTTGCCAGATCAAGATTTGAAAGCTACATGCCCAATTTAATTCCATTAAAAAAAAAACTTTATCCAGTTCATGGCTCATCAACCAAACTTTTAGAAAGACTGTAATTTCAATGGTCAGAAACAGTTGTTCAGTCGATCTGGCATGTGGTACCAGTCAAAGTTCTCGTGGCAGACTACAGATGCTAGTTAAACACTAATCCGATAAGAAAATGCTACGAATGACACAATTAGAATCATCACAGAAAACATATATATAGTGACATGGTTGTGGTCCAGCAGCCTAACCTTTTTGTTACGTGCAATTCTTAATCTCTTAATCGAACCAAATTGCCCAAAAAATCCTATGAAAAACATCTAATCAGCAGTTTTCACAGGCAAAAAATTACAAACATAGCAATAACCTTGAGCACAAATTATAAACATTGTTCATTCAAGTACATCAAATTTGACAATCTCTACTGCACACCTTCCATTTCCTTCTCATAGAAGCCGTGAGGTATCCGACCAATGTATAAAACAGTAGCAATATCCTCCTTGGGCTTTTCCTCGGGGAGCTTACGAGCTGGACCACCTTCTAATGGCTTTCGACATAAAATCACCACCAAAACAATAAATAACACAACCAGACGAGAAAGGAAAAATAAATAAATAACTAGGATTAAATTAAGCATTACCAAGAAATCAGCAGCAGTAGAAGCAGTAGCAGCAGCTTCTTTATTTTTGTGAGAAGAAGCTGATAATTGAGCAGAGGCTTTGCTCAATTGTTTTTTCATTGCCTTTTTCGCCTTCGCCCCCATTTCGCTGCTGTGAATTCAATAATATGTTACTAATCACAATTGAAATGAAATTGAATGATTTAATTTGGGAAAAATGTATATGCCAATTGCAAGAACTAGACTTTAGAAACAAAATTACAAGAAATTGACAAAATTTACAGGAGTGCAGACTGCAGAGAACGAAAGAATTCCCAAATAAACTCACGGGTGAAAAATCCAAGTCTAATGGAGCTATAGTTTCTTTTAAATTCAGTATTTTCCCAACAAACAAACAGAAATTTAGGGTTTATTAGAGAGCAAGCAAAAGACATAACTTGAAGGCAGCCGACATTGTCAAGCCATAACAATTAAAGCAGAAAAAGTAACAAAAATCACTACGAGAGAGAGAGAGAGAGAGAGAGAGAGAGAGAGAGAGAGAGAGAGAGAGTATGGTTTACCTTTACCTGGATAAGTGTAAAGATGCAGACCGGGAGTCTGAAAGTGGAGGAGGAGGAAGAAAGAGGCGGGCTTTAGGTTGAGGTTTTTCTGTTTTATTTTTGAACACTTTAACGAAAAGTTTTGATACTGTTAATTTTAACGGAAAAATCATATTTTTATATTAAAAATTAATTTTAATACTATTTATTTTTAAATTCAAAAGTTTTAAATTATTTTCATTAATTTTCATTTTAGTTTTTTGGTTGACGTTTATTGTTTTAAAGGCCTTGGGCTTGGCCCGCTTGGGTTTACATCCCGCATAAGCAAAGCTGAAAAAATCACTTAGAAAGAGAAAAAAACAGAGTTACTTGTAAGTAAGTAGTTGATTTAAGAATATTGGCAGCTATGAGCAATTTCTTGCTGATATGTTTTACTTTAAAATATGCACGTACACGTAACATTTTTTAATTGGAAAAATGTCAATTGAACTTGTAGATATAAAAATGCATTTTTACCCTGTATTTTAGTGGACATTTTGACGAAAATGTCATTTTCACTTTGTGCTACAGTAAAACCTCTACGAATGAATGTTTTATTACATAATCACTTCGATTAAATAATAAATTTTTCCGGTCCCAACTTATACTAGTGTAATAAGATAATAAATTCGCTAAATGCAGAGGATAATAATTTTTCTTAAAATCCTTTAAAGCCCAACTAATATATAAAATAATAATTGATGAAATACATGAAAGGAATAACACATAAAACTCATAATATATAAAAAATAAAAAATAAAAAATAAAACTTTTAACAGATTCTATTTTCTCAATTCAGCTTTTTTTTTTTTTTTTTTTTTTTTTTTTCAAAATACACCGATTCAATGGGGGAAAATTATCTATCATTTTATTTTATAAGTTGACGGAAACGAAGAAAACAGGATTGACTTGTTTTTACTCTCTGTGGGTGGTACAATTTTTTTTTCTTTCAGTTTTACTCCTTTTTTACGAATTGTCTCCGAGGAAAAGGAAGGGCTCTCCAGCTTATAGGGATGAAGCGGTTCGATTTAGTACAGTTTTGAGTGAAATCGAATTTTTTTACGGTTTGGTTCAGTGCAGTTTTAGAATCAAAACCGAAATAAAACTAAATCATTTAGTTCGATTTGGTGCGGTTTCAAACGGTTTCGGTTTGGTTTCAAACTACTTACATACAAAATGCAAAAAAAAATCTCTTTATCTTCCTCTCACTCTCCCCTCCCCCCTCTCAACACCATTAGTATTTTTAAGAAAACATATACAGTTTATAACTTTATTCCAAACATTGTCAAACATTTCCTGGATGTAAACTATCAAACATTCACATTCACAATTGAGCAGTTTCAAAGAATCAAAGGAAGAATTAGAAGAGAAAATTTAAAATCGCGAATTCAATAAGCAAAGCTATTTCTAGGTGTGTAGAAGTGCAGCAAATGTAGAAACACTGTTGTAGGTTTACAGCAAGAAACGTAGAAAACTAATGCAGAGATATTTGTGGAAGTGACGATCTTTCATTCCTTCATTTGTTATATATACAAAGAGTCGTAACGGGATTATAAAACATCCATCATAATCTGATAATTACAACGTAAGTGAGTAAATCAATTATGTAACAACCTAAGATAAGGTTGTTGAGTACTACGCTAACAAGGTGGATAGTAATTGCTGCTTCACCTTTGGCTATGAGAATAACATTGCTCCCCAATCTTATGCGGCAAATTAAGTTGATAAGAATTGTGTAGTTACTTCCCAAATGTAAGTTTTAAACTTTGACTTGATCACTTCATTGGACTGTTTTGTAGCTTTACTCTTGCAATTATATTTTGCAGATCGAATGCTAAAGTTTGGTTTAACCAGAAACAACATTCATCTCTTCTGGATATTTAATAAAATGTTTTTTTAAATATTTGTGATGCGGTTCGGTTTCGGTGTAGTTTTCAAAGTTCAAAATTAAACGAATCTTAACGAGTACCCATTAATAACCCAATGAATTGAATTCTCACATCTAGATGATGGGCACCACCTCAACTTAAAGGTGGTGAATAAAAATATTTTGTGTTCTTGGAGTGATGGTGATGGTGATGGTGAGATTAGTAGTGGTGATGCTAATGTAAGGTAAAATAAAACTAAATGAGTCTTAATGAGTATCTATTAACAATCCAATGCATTGGTTGAGTTTAAATTTCCAGACTGGGGTGGTGAGCAAAACATGAATGAAATTGGGCATATTTAATCCTAGAAACTTTGCATGCGGTCCAATATCCTAGGATAGAGTTGGGTTTCTAGTCATGGAATCCGTATTTGAAATCCCCTGGTCCCCTAAATTATTATAATAGTTTTGAACTCTCATCCTTATGCTCTTAATTGGAGGCTAAACACAACATAAAAAGGTATGTTGGATAAAGCATTAAACCCTAGCCTTGCATCGTATCCTGGGTAAACAACTAAACCCTAGACGACTATGACTAATGAGTGATTTGTATCGATGAGACTCCCAATAGCCTCCAACTTCCAATAGCGTGCGTATCAAACCCAATTATTTTCATCAGCATTCTAAAAGGCGCAGCATATCACTCTTGTTTACTCGACATTAATTTCGCTTCTAATTTCCAAATGACGAAACGAAAGCGTGGGGTGGTGACGGCAGACCGAATCAGCGAGTTGCCAGATGAAGTTCTTGTTAGCATAGTGTCTCTCTTGTCGCTAAGGGAGGCAGCAGCTATGCGTATCCTTTCTACGCGATGGAGGAATATATGGAAATCTACTTGGACCCTCAATTTCGATGCGGATCCTAAAGCTTTGGAAAGGGAAAGGTACGTCACCGACCCTGAAACCCTAAAAGAAAGGTACGTCAAGTGGGTGGATGGTACTTTGGAACAGCACCAAGGAATGCGTATCGAACAATTTAGGATTTGTTTTAACCTTAACGAGAGCTTTTCAAGTTCCGTTGATAAATGGGTTCGATTTGCAATGAAAAAAAGAGTTCAAATTCTTGAGTTGAACTTCTTAGAAGAATTTCCTCCGACGTATGAGGGTACTGTGCTGCATGTACCATGCTATACTTTTTCTCCCCGCCAACTTTTAGGTGGTGTTCCTTGTCTACAACCTTGTTCCGCCGTTGGCTTCTACTTCCTCAGAGTTGTAAAGTTCAAAAACGTTTGTCTTGCTGGAGGTCTCGAGCACTTTTTGTCTAACTGTCCAGCTCTCGAACGATTAACAATATAGCGTGTTCCAGATTTGCATAAGCTGAGAGTTGTCGGTCTGTCAATTCCGTTGAAGTACTTGGTCATAAGAGGTTGTGACAATATCGAAAGCATTCTGATACGTGATGCAAATCTTGTTTCATTCACTTATGATGGACTTAAGATGAACTTGATTACTAAGAATGTACCGCTACTCGCTGAAGTATCCATCGGTGGGTACCCTAAAGTTGATTTTCTCAAAGTTGCCTTCACCCAACTTGAATCTTGTCGTTCTCAGCTACAGATTCTCAAACTGCTCCAGTATAAAATCCCCTACGACGAGGATCATGTTTTTCCTATCTTCTCAAGTCTCAAGCAACTGGAAATTGCCGTCACAGATCAAGATTACTGGCGTCTTCATCTATTAACATCCTTCATTGAGGCGTCTCCTTGCTTGCGCAAACTTGTGTTGCACTTGCATCACTCATCTTTTACTGGTCAAAGAAAAATATTCAAGAGAGCCGAGTGCTCCCATCGTTACCTCAAGGTTGTGGAGATGGTAGGGTACGATGGTAGCACAAGTGATTTTGGACTTGTCAAGTACTTGATAAAAACTGCTGTCCACCTGGAGGAAATCGGTGTTAGTCATTTCAAGAGTTGGATTTACCATTACACAGACGAGAAACCGGAAGAATCAGAAAGGGATCGTGCTAAGAAGGATCGTGCTATGAAAGAGCTTAACAAATAGTGCCATCAACTGTAAAACTAGTATGCTTGTAGGAAGTAAAAATTGCAGTGCTCATCAGAATTTGTTTTGGTATTTGAATTTTAAGGTTTTCTGGCCGTTGTTGAGGGCACGACACACAGGGTTTTGTGGCCGGAACAATGATGCAACAGAACAGTTGAGGCCTTTGGCGTGCTTTGAACTATGCTCCTAGTTTGTGCTTTTGGTTTTGTAAAACCTTAAAGACTGATTTTGCGTAACAGTTGAGGTTTCTGGTGTTTATTAATGCTTCTTTACCTTTCTTTTTTCTTTTTCAATCGAATTTAAAGTAAAAACAGGTCTTTTGTGGAGCAATTAACTAGTTCGAATGTAACTCAAAGTGGTTAAGATCGTTTACTCTTGTACCGCCCCGAATAGCCAGTTTAGGAGCAATTAATTAGTGTGAGGAATAGCCGTTTCTCATATAAGGCCCTGAATGTCATATACCTGCAATTTGAATAGAAACTCTGAATTCTCTTTTTTTAGTACAAATGTTTAACCTCCTCTCACAAATTGTTTCTGAGGAAGAGGAAGGGCTCTCCAGCCAATATCATGGCGGTAGAACCCTCCCGGCCAATTAATTTCTTCAACCCCTTGATATGCCCGATCGCGTGCCTCTTTGAGATCTATTCCCTTGGCGGTCACCCCAAGAACACGTCCCCCAGCAGCAATGAAATTGCCATCTAAATCCAGTGCAGTTCCAGCATGAAATACCTTAACAGATGGGGCAACAGCTTCTGCTTCATCAAGGTTACGGATCACACTTCCCTTCTCATATGAACCTGGGTACCCCTTACTTGCCATTACCACCACCATGGCAGACCCAGTCGACCAGTTCAATGACACCTCACTTAACTGTCCTCTACAAGCTGCAAGTAGAACTTGTGCCAGATCAGACTCCAAGCGAACCATTAAAACCTGTTTATCATTAAGCCAAAAAAGCACCGAAAATTGTTGTTAACATGTTATTCAACAGCAACACGATCTGAATAAGATGGAAAAAAATACCCAATTTCCATGCCTAAGTTCCAAACTTCCATAATACCATTCCCACACCAACCTAATAGGTAGACTAAGATAAATTCAAATTTTCATCAACTCATTCCGCAACCCATTCCTTCGATTAAAAGAAAAGGATTTGGAAAGAATGAGAGACAGACATAAAGCCACCTTGCAGCTACTGAACCTAAATTGTTGGCTGTAAAATTAGCAAAAAATTGTTGATAAAGACTTCCCAAATGGTAAAAGCAACATGAGATGCATTAAACAACGACTGTGTGAGATTTCAAGTAACTCCTAATCCTCCGCATTTAAAATGAACAAATGAATCATTTATATAGGTATCTACTAATGATCTGTTTACTGACCTGACACTCTGGATCACCAAAACGTACATTGTACTCTATCAGTTTAGGTAAGCCAGACTTTTTTTCTATCATGAGTCCAGCATACAAAACCCCAACAAACTTGCAGCCCTCGGCTGACATGCCTTTAACTGTGGGGTAAATGATGGATTTCATGACTAAATCTTCAAGTTCTTTAGTTAGGATGGGGGCTGGTGAGTATGCACCCATTCCACCAGTATTAGGCCCTGTATCGCCATCCCCAACACGTTTATGGTCCTGAGCAGATTCCAGAGGAATAGCATTCTCTCCATCCACCAGTGCAAAGAAAGATGCTTCTTCTCCTTCCAGATATTCCTCAACAATGACACGACAACCTGCAGACCCAAAAGAACCTTTTACTAGCATTGAGTCAACAGCATCAAAAGCCTCGTTCAAAGTCATAGCGACAATAACTCCTTTCCCAGCAGCCAATCCATCAGCTTTAACGACAATAGGCACCCCTTGGTCTTGTATATATTGTTTTGCAGCAGATGGGTCTGTAAACGTTTGATACTGCATCAATTAATCAATTCATTAGTTAACTCTTGTTTTTATGAAAATAACGACACAAGAACTGAAAAGGCAATGCCAATCGTTTTTCATTATCATTTTCGAGTTCTAACGATCATAAGCAAGCAATGTTTGAAGTTAACAACACCCTTTTATAACATAATATCAAACGTAATACAAACCTTAGCAGTAGGTATTCCATACTTGTCACACAAACTTTTCATAAAGTTCTTGGACCCTTCCAAAGCAGCAGCCTCGGATGAAGGGCCGAAAGCATGGATTCCAACCTCGAGCAGATCATTTACGAGACCAGCAACAAGAGGGGCCTCCGGTCCAACAACGACAAGCCCCACACCCCATTTGCGGCAGAATGAAATGACAGCTGAGCTATCAGAGATGTCGAGGTCTGAAATACAAGTGGCATCCCCAGAGGTGGAAATTCCGGGATTGCCAGGAGCACAAAAGACAGTATCACAAGAAGGGGATCGCTTCAATGCGTAGCAAAGAGCGTGTTCCCTTCCCCCGCCCCCAATCACCAAAACCACCACCCGCTCTACTGTAGCATCAGCAAGCAACACTAAATCATTATACACATACATTCTTACCTACATAGTTATCTACACCAAATATATATACACACAAACATAATTAAACTTTCATGCATTGCATACACATATATGTATGGCGTGGGTCTGTGGCATCACTATTTTACACAAACTTTTGACGCAAGTTTTTTTCTTGCACACTCTGTAATATATTTCAACGATTCAAACCGTCAATCTTTTAGAATAAGATTCATCGATCATTCATAGATCCGTTCCCTATATAGATATTGCCATATTCCACTAAAGTAATGATAGTTGCAATTTTAATTTTTTTTTCAATAAAAAATAAAACTGAGAAATACATATGAATTAATTTCTAAAAAAATAATAAAAAACAAAACACCAAAAATCAGATATGATTAACCAGAAAGCATGAAAATTTGAAAGAAAAAAAAAAAACCAAACGAAGTAAAATATGAGTGGGGTGTTTTTATTTTTTGCCGGAAGTACCAGGAGCAACAGTGGCAGATTGGGCGCGAAGGGAAAGGGACGGCGGTGATTTGTGAACACGAAAAGTGAGAAGGGTGGATGGGGAGCCGCTGGGATGGCGGCGAGAGCGGATGGACCCCACAGAGGCGAGGAAGGGCTTCGGAGAGCAGCGGAGGAAGTGGGTGTTGTTGTTGAGTTTGAGAGAAACAGCTCCGGCGAGGTCCAACGTCGTACAACCCATTATTTCCTAGGAATCAGAGAATCTATGTGTCCTGTCTGTTTTCTCCCCTTTTGTGTTCCGCAAATCAGAGAATATATCCTGCGCGCAAATTTAAATTGGAAGAATAAAGATGACGATGGGTTTGGGGGGTTTTGGGTGTTTGCGTCATTTTCCAAGGACTGAGGGTTTAAGACGCTCGAACTAATTAAAGAAACAAGAAATTTTAAAAAGTAAATTAAATGAGATTTTTTTTTTTAATACATCGATATTTTTACACTAAAGAGAGAGAGAGTTTGGTAAAGTCACATAGTGGGCAGTTTAATTTAGTATCGAATTCTCCATTCACGATATTCGAACTTAAGACCACCAGATCATAGTACTGGGTGATTCGTTAATTTTATGACTACGACAGAAAAAATTAAAATAATCAATTTGAATTGTAAAGGATTAAGAGAAGTGTTCAAATTTGCTACCCAAACTTAATAAGTTCAACCCTAAATATATGGGGTTGTCTCTAACGCACCAAAAATGTAGTTAAGGCAATGTCCTCATTTCTTTCGCCCGATTCAGATATACGTAACTTTCATCTGTAACCTAAGGGCTCCACTCTTTTGTGTGATTTTTAGGCGTTTTGTATAAAGACGTTGTATATCCATGTATCTCTCTCGTCACCTTACAAGTCAAAAGAGAAATATACACATACATAAATTGCACAAGTAAAGAAAATCATCGCGTTCCTTTGCAATTGCCATGCTTCCTTCCCCCATTACTAACTCTCCTAAATGCTCCTCAAAATCCAGACAGCCTTCTCATGGAAGCAGATAAAGAAGCCAAAAGCACATCGACGTTTTCTCTCTCGAGCTGCTTTTAGCACTTCAAAAAAGCATCGTTCGCTCTTCTCCAGACGAGAGGAGGGCGCAATGTTGTGTAGATAGCTGAGTTTCCGGTATCAAATCTCATTGTGAAGAGTACAGGATCAAATTCGAACAGTCCGAGGCTGTACTCATTGTGAAGAGTACATGCTCCGTTCTGTCCATCTCATAAGCACTTCATTCGTATTAAAAATCAAGAACGAAGATCAAGTGTAGAAACTAATTGTCGTTTTGGTTTGAGGAAGCACAGCATCAACGTAACTCAGGAAACCCGAGATTCACATTGTTCAGATTGAAAGCACAAAGACTGAGTCAAAAAATTAAACAAATTATAGTAGACAAAAAGGCCTTCAACCATACACCAAGGGAAGGAAGAAAGAAAAAAGAAACTCTTGGCGTATACATATTACCGGTCTTTATCTCATATTCCTCGCAGTGGGAGTCGCAGTAACATAGATATTATCTATATTTGGTCCTCAAATAAGCATACAAAACTACCTCTATCCGCATGCAAACTTAAATCTTCGGATTTTCCTAACTTGTTTCGCAAACAGTTGCAACACTCGTACTACTCACAGTCACAGGACACACGATGACAAGTGAAAAGGTAAGAGAGATTTTACATATGTTGATACAGGAACATACTGGAGTTGTGATGGTGTGCAGAAGCAGCAGACGCTCGTGGAAGTTGCTAGGTGTGCAAAGCCATGAATAAGTTCTGCTTACGGGCATGCTCTGGAATAAGTCGGTTGACTATGTCCGTTGGAATTCCTTGAAGCTCTATCAAAGAGAATATAATGAAGCATAAAAGGAGCATTAGAAACATGAAAACCAAATATAAAAAATTCTGGTGAATGCAAAACTGCACGTTTATAGAATAAGAATAAAAAAGGACATAATCGAGCCTTTTTATTCACATTAGATTAAAGAACTTGCAATTATCATAATCACCATGAAGCCAATGGCAGCAATCTCCACAAAAATTTCTAGAAAAGTGAAATGGTACTATGTTTTTAAGGAAAACTAATGAAAAGGGCTTGAAAACTTTGAGTTTTAACAATAAAGACAAAATAAAGGGTAAACTGAACAGTACCAGAATTCACTTTTCAGTGTAAAAATGTGGTTTTTCGTTAAAGTGAACAGTACCGCGGGCTTTTTGTTAAAACTCCCATGTTTTTATGTAAAGGATTCAAATCAAACTCACCCTGGGGGTTAAAGTTGAATAGAGGAGGAAGAGGGCGACCATTAGGAAGACGAGTATTTGGGTCTCTCAATTCATCAAAGAAAGGGTGAATGCAAGCTTCCAACTGCAAAACCAAAGCAATAAAGTAATTAGCGCTGAATTGTTTTCTTTCCTTTTTACTGAAGGAAACTAAAATTGAAAGTCATGCTTACAGCAGTACATCGCAGGTTCGGGGAATACTGGAAAAACCTACAAACAAGATCTACTGCCTCTGGGGGTAAGCGTTTTTGGAATACCTGCAACATGACAAGAATATCATGGTTAATCTCCATGATAAATAAATTCCTATTTAGAGCAACAGCTTATCACAACCGAAATGAACAACAGCAATAATGATGAAAGCTAAAAATGAGATGGATATAAATATCACATCAACAGGAACAGGCATACTGCGTTCTGCATGGGATAATATAATTTGGCGGAATACGTGTTAAGGCAGTCAAAGATTCATGATTAAGCAGTTACTTTTCACGAGTTTATTTGACCATCTGAATGACACTCAACAAAGTTATAAATGTCGACTTCAGGATAAAAAACGTAGGGTTCCCAAGCTATAAATAAATTATTAATGCAAGCCTTGGCCCCATACAGAATTTTCAACCTTCAACACCTATATGTCATGACCTCATGATTTCTAATTAAAAATCTATGAATAATAGTCTCCATCTCCATGCAAATTGCCAACCCCACTTTGCCAGCTCCACATACACATTATTTTTGCACGCCCACTCATCTTAAATATATTAGAAACTAAACGATACCAAGGTTCATATCAGTTCACACCATCATGCCCCTAATCACCACCCAATTATACCTTAAAAAGTCTCATCCAAACACATCACAAATAAACAGTGCATTAATCTCTGAAGCAGATTCCACTGGACAAGGCACTAGTCACATACCAAGAGTTCATACATCCAACCTGAAACAAATTTATAATTTCTATTGATGTACTTTCATCGGATTTTATATGCCTTGTTAGATACATGAGAAATGCAACATACAGTGACAAGTCATCCCCAACTTGACCAAAGAAGCCAGCAAAACTCAAACTCATCAAAGCCCAGCTTACAATACTTGAAGTTACTCAATTTTCAGTCACCAATCAGTTCCACGTAGACTATATCCTTAGAGCATCTCCAATGGGTTCCCTAAATGAGCTCCTAGCTAAAAATTGGGGAGAATTTGGAAAAAATTCATCTACTCCCTACCCTGCTCCCAGCATAGCAAATCCTCTAAGAACTCTGAAATTTGGGGAGGGAGAAAGGATCTCCTAGCATTGATTACTTTTCAAATATAAACTCTGTTTGTATTGGTTCATAGTTACTATGACTTCCCAAATTAGACAATATGTTTGGAGTAGAAATTTTCTAGGTAGCTCCTAAGATAACTTTCTAGTCTTTTCAGTTAAATTTGACTTGAAAATATAGAGCATGATTGGAGATGTTCTTACATGATAGGATTAGGACATCACCTTAAAATATTTTCTTTTTATTTCTTGGCATGTTTACATGGTGCAAATCATCCCTAGCTCAACCAAAGAAGCCAACGAAACTCGAAGTGAAAAACGTCATGCTTTACTAGTTAGAGCCTACAAATATTCATTCATCAATCAGCTCTCTCAGGCTATATCCCATTACGGCAGGTCATCAATTTAATGACATTTTTTTTCCTGTCCTTTAACATGTTCTTGGAAAACACTAACTTAAGTGCAAAAAATTCTATTTACTTTAGCAATCAGTGTAATCACTTATCAAAATCACTTATCAAAACCATTGTGAAGATTCTTCATAACTAAACAGCAACATTTCTCTTTTCAATCTACTGAGTACAGTCCTAAATTTACCCTATTCTCAGTACAAAAGATTAATCAAACTACTACTAGTATTTCATTCATAAAGACTACTTTCTGAATTAGCAACAGCAGGAGCATTTTTCATGCTAGGTTTGACGATGACAATGTCCACATATCAGTGCAATAATACAATTTAAGGTCTAGCAATACATCATGGCTTGATCTATAAAATAAAATTTAAAGTCACAAGCATAAATGTAAGAATAATATAAGAGTACACGCAAAGACACACCTTGTGCCACGGATGAGGCTTTATCTGTGGGAATTTAAATTCAGTATAGTTTGGATTCATGCACTTTATCTCCTCCCTGGTTGGAGTCCCCAAAACCTGCACAAAAATGTATAATTAACTGTATGTCTATTCATTCCTCTTTTCATAATTGTGGAAATTTGAAAATATGAAAACAACAGCTTCTTAAAGACTAGAGAACTGTAGACTTTTAAATCATAGAAGATTTCACCACCAAAAAAAATGATGACATTCTAAGGAGCAACAGTTTATAATAGTTGATTGAACCTAGGATGACCAAAATCAACCCAAAAAGAGTCAAAGCGAACTCATATACTCAACCCTGATGGTTTTGTTTTACAGTTTTAATCCGATATTCAAAGTTCGCTAAATAAATACAAAATGGCAATCTACACAGAACTAGATTGACATCCTCACCTTAATTATCTCAACTAGTTGGTCCACTCCACTTTCGCCAGGAAACAAGGGCTGCAAGAGAATTTGGCTAGACAATATTAAATATTTTTAAGGACAAGGGTAATAAAAACAGCCAGTATTCACGTATTTGAGTACCAAATCACCTGGCCAAGAAGTAATTCAGCCATCACACAACCTGTAGACCATATATCAATAGCTGTTGTGTACTCAGTGGCACCAAATATCAATTCTGGAGCACGATAATATCTTGAGCAGATGTAAGAAACATTTGGTTCTCCTTTCACCTGATAAACACAAATGGAACAGCCTTGTAAGCAGATGAAATTAGATAACAAGACCATAAGACACCTTCATCAGTAAAAAGGATGGAGTGCAAAACTCACCAACACTTTTGCACTCCCAAAATCACAAAGTTTCAGCTGATGCGTGTGTGGATTCACCTGAATGACATGAAGCATTAGAACATGACCAACAAAAGGTGAATGGCAGAGTATAGACACACGCATATAGATGTAGAAAAATTATTCAAAGAGGAGGCCTGCATTTTAAGAAAAGTGTAGACATCCTAGTAGAGGCCATCCTGCAATGTAGACCAATGAATCGAATCCTCTACTTTCTCAGACCCTTCCGAGGATACTCCTTGAACATTAGACAAATTGAATACAATTTAGGCATTGTGATCAGATAAATTCTTAGACTGGGACCTAAAAAGTGGATGGCTCAAATTATTGAAAGACAATGTGGAACGTGCCCAACAAGAATGTTCAAACTTCCGCAAAATGTGCCCCAAGTTATTCAATACTATCTATATTGTTTCTTTATTAATTTCTTGGTTATGGTATTTGACCAACTTTCTTTTAAGCTTGCTAGGCTGACAAAGATAATTCAGCCTTACAAACTGATAAGGAAGGGTAGTAACTTCCTATTTACGCCCTTTAAGAAATAAAAATCAAGTCCTTTCCATAGACACCAAAATGCTCAATATAATATAGGCTCTAAGTACTAATTTTGAGGCTCTAGGAATTGGGAGGAAAGCTAAAGCTTTGTGGGGTTGTCTGGTGTCGGCAGTTTTTTGGAACGTTTGGTTGGAGCGTAACAAAAGAATTTTTGAGGATTATACTGGTGTGGGGGTAGCAGATCTATGGGGAAGAGTAAAATATTGGGCAGCCTTCTGGGCTTCAGTTTCAAATGAATTTAAGAATTACTCTCTTTCTCACATACTGTGGGATATGTTAGCAGTTGTAAAATGATTTTGGTTGAGGTTGTCCTACTTGTAATCTGATCCTCTGGAGAGATTTTCTTGTTCTGTTCTTGGTGGATTTCTTATCCACTTCTGTGTATTACACTTTTCTTTTCTAATAAACTGTTATAGTTTCTTCTCAAAAAAAAAAAATATAGGCTCTAAGAGAACTAATATCTAATCCTCAAAGGAAGAAGAGAAACTGCAATCACTAAAATCACCCCAAATCCATGAATTATAAAAGTTACGCATCAAACTACTTTCTTATTGAAATTGAAGGATATCATATGAGATAGCTTGATGAGAATGTTATCCATAACACTGCGGGGAATTTTTGAAATTGGAGGACTCAAGGTACATAAAATAGAGGCGCAGAAGCAGCATGGTGTGGAAACTTAGACACACACAAAACACAAATAGAGATATATATGGAAGGTTCAAAGTCTAACAGCTACTAAGTATTGATCCTGTAATCATTAGAGCAGCATGTTGTCACAAGAACTACATTGTGCATGTGCAGCATTACCCTGACTCCCTAAGCACTGCTTGATTTAAATAAAGTCTAACTCAATTACAATATTTATGGGAAAACACGGAAAGCTTATGGTAGTTCAAAAAGCAACAAAACGCCTCATATTATGCCTTCGACTCTGAAAACACTATTACCATCTAAATAACAAAGGTATTGCACCAATTTGACACATACATTAGAGTTGACTAGTAAAAGCAATCAATGGCTCTGCTTAGTAGACCAGGTTATTGGTCAGACAGATAACTTGCAATGGTGTCAATCACATATTTTGTCATACAGGAGCTCCCAGTTCCTTAGGAAGAAAAAAAAAATCTTACAAGTAAGTTCTGAGGCTTGATATCACGGTGACAGATTCCAATACAATTATGTATATAAGCAAGTGCCCTGCATATCTGCACCACAACAAAGTTGAAAAAGAGAAGCCTTAGATTGTGTTCATTACAATTAAACCAAACGACAGAGAAAGTACAAATGAAGCCAAATTCATACCTGATAGGTATAAAGTTTAACATATGTTATGGGCATTCGCTGGCTGATCCTACTATAGTTCCTCGCAATGCGGTTCACTGTTTCAGGAACGAATTCAAGTACAAGGTTCAAGTAAACCTCTTCTTTGTCTGTGGTTGAGAAGAAGCAATGCTTTAGGGCAACAATGTTTGGATGATCCAACATCTGCATAATCTGTAACTCCCTGTTCTTGTAGCGCTTGTCTTGGAGCACCTTCTTGATAGCAACAATCTCTCCAGTTTCTCTACATTTCGCCTGCGCAAAGAAGTTAAAGTTTTATCAACAATGTAATTCATATGAAAATCAGGTAGATTCTATTGAGCAAAGTATATAGTTCTACCTACCTGGAAAACAACCCCAAAAGAACCAGTTCCAACCACATGTTCTGAAATATAGCTTACTGTCTGTAGAAACCAGACAAAGAAACAAAATGTAAGTCACCGAGTTATAGGAAATCACTGCTTATGATTTGCAATACCGTTACTAGATTAAATTTAAAGAAAAATAGAATCTTGTCCAACCTGCCTAGATTGACCACTTCGACCACCAACAGTCGTTCGTATTACACGTCCTGTTTCAGCACCCACTCCATCAATTACATCCGGTTCGCTATCCTACAACAGAAGAAATAGTAAGGACTGTCAAAAAACACCAAATTCTAGTCAAAACAAGTCGCATTCAACTAGAGCGGGGCTTTAATCTAGACCAAAATGCTTGAGAACTATTTTGCTCATCAGTTGCTTGTGGCAATGTAAAGGCCCACCATTTCGTTATGTGATAGTCGCAACAAATGACAGTTAACGCAAAAATTTCACATTATATTCAAACAGTTTAGAACGAACACGGCTTACTCTATCGTCATCACGATCCGGCTTGTCCCGCAAGCTCATCTCGAGCATCTCCCTCCCCAGCCAATCAACCGAACTAGACGAACTCTTGAAGCCATTCACAGACCTTGAACTGCCAACTCCACCATTCCCTAGGCTAGCAGATGCCATACCGACGTCTGATCACTTCACTACTGCAGCACAGCAAATGATGCTACTCCTTCCCCTCCTCGCACCCTGCTCCTGCGTCCACTCCCATCCAAGCACCTATCTTTCTATTAAACAACATAAAAATAATAAAAAATTCAAATTTCTTTCCCCAAAAGCATTAATTAAAATTAAAATCCATAAAACATAGAAATTGAGCTGAAATTTCTGAAACAAAATTCAAATGAAAAATTAAAAGAATTGCAGAGTCAATCAATTACTTAATTTAGCTCAGATCCACACCAAACTCACTCCAATTTTTTAAATTAAGCACCAAATACAAATACAAATTTAAAAATCACCGCCGATCCTCCGAAATCAATCGGACTCCAACAAAACAATAAATTCTCGGCATTTTCAAACGCAATACATCCAAAATCCAGAAAAACGGATCGGTTCGGACGACTGACCTGCAAGCGTTTCGGGGAGGCCTGGAAGCAGAGCTCGCGCATTTTAAACTCCGCTCCGCTCCTGGAATTTTTGAGATTTGAGCAGAAAATTTGGGAAGGAGAAGAATTTGATCGGCTTACTGTTATTACTGCGAGAAAATTCAATCTACTTTTTGATGAGGCTTTATTCTCTTTTTTTTTATTAAATTACTTTTGCAGTGAGTTTGTTTGAGTAGTGAGTGAGTCAGGAGTACGAACAAGTAGTTGACGACAGCTTTGGGTTCTTGTTTAAAGACAAAGAAAGAATAATAAGAGGTTAAGGACAAGTGGAGGTTGATTTTTGCTTTCCATTGCCCTTCTTTATTTAAAAACATGAGGAGGGGAATATAATATGATTCTAATACTTTTAATTTTGCTTGTCTTCTGTCGATTATTATTACGGTCTATTAATATTTAATTTCACTTATAAATTACAAGTACTGAGTCTTAAACTTTTGTAAGAAGGTGGTAGCAGGGAATTTTTCGCAATAGGCGAAAGTATGACAGAGCAATGCTACGTAGAGATGGAAAGCTTACGTGTCGTAAATTTTTTTTCCTGAAGAAGAAGCAATGACTATATCTTGGGAAGAAGCATCGGTTGACTTTGTGCCAACAACTATGTTTGAATCTTCTGTGTTATATGTTTTCTGTTTAATGTATTCTACAATGAAAATGTGTCTTCATAAATTTGAAAATTCTTGTTTGCAAGAGCGCACTATTAGCCCGAAGCAATTGAGCTTGGTATCGATTTTTTATTTTTTTAAGTTCTCTTGAGTTAGGTTCGATTGAGTTCAAAAAAAAATTGAACAATTCAAGCTTGAGCAAAGTGATATTCAGTTTTACTCGACTTATTAACAACCATAGTCTTACATTACAAATTTAATTTGTCTAATATATTTTTAAATGGAAAAATGAAAAACTGTTTTTGCCCTTCATATTTGTAATTTTTTTTTTCTGTACGTTGTAGCTGGCATGTTAAGAGGAAATGGTCTTTAGAAAAAATCTTATCGGAGTAAAATCACATGAAATAAATACCGGTGAAGAAAAGAGGCCATACATGTTGATAAAAACATCATTACTCAATAGTTACATAATCATCGTAGATACAATTCTTCAATCATAAAGGTCCCACGCTTAAATCAAATGTTTGAAAAAAATCTCGAATTCAAATATTCCGGCAACTTAAAATTACTTCAAGACTAACTGAATGAACCAAAAATGACTTTTCAAGGACTAAATCTCAAACAATTAGGATAAGTCCCAAGAAGAGGCCCACAAGGCAAACTACTTGAAAAAGCATGCCCTAAAAGTCAATCATCTAAAGGACTTTTATGGACAGCATGCAAACGTATCTCTCCGCGTCCCCTTACCTTCATCCAAGGCAAACGAACGTAGAAGAAGACAGACATGTACTTTGACTTCACACTCCGCGTCTTATCATGTTGAAATTATAATTTTTCGATTATTTCGATCCTGTGTGATAATTATTTCGTTTTCAGCAGGCATCCCAATATCAAAATCCATCCAAAAAATTGTTTCCGAAACAGTCATTTTAAGCAGCCTCAAATTTTCATTTCAAATTCCAATGGCATCAAGAAGTTCGGAGTTGAGACACAGAAACTAGTGAGTTGGCTACAATCGCACCACTAGCAGCAACCGCAGCGACTCCGATGCCGGGAAATATAGAATCTCCACAACAAGATATAGCTGAGGGATGGAAGTTGAAGGCCCCGGGAAAGAGTCTTTACCGGCGGGCTTGTATTGCTGGTCAATCCGTTCCTTGGTTCCTTCGAAGAAACCTCTGGTGTCAATGGAGATCAGACTAACTTCACCTCGCATTTCTCTCGATCGGCCAAAGCCAGCACCATGCCGCACGCTCCACGGTTCTCCACATAACATAAATTACAAGTGATTAATCATAAGCAATGCAGTAAATTAATACGTATTTGGAAGGAACTGTGGAACATGTCCTAGTGTTTGTTTATTTTCTTGTAAATCAGATCATGATATGGTACTCAGAAACATGATGACATGTTACTTATGCTACGTTTCACTTGTCTCAGCAGATCAATAAAGTTTTGAGAAACCATAACGGAAACGAATTTGATCTGTTAATTTATACACTATCAGCATGCTTGCTGGGTTTGTTAATTTCTGCAGCTTCATACCCTCTCATGTTTGGTCGCAAGATTGAATGAATCAACGATCAATCAAGGAACATAGACAAGCAAGGAGTGTAAGTGAAGAAAATGGGAGTGTGAAAATCATTTTCCTTCGAGCTTACGCGTTCTTGGGAGAATGCAAATAGTATGAACCTTAATACTTCCAGCTGTGATTTAAATAAACCTGATACCGTAAGCATCTTTTAGCAATAAAGCCAGTAATTATTTCAAGCGAAGAAATTGAAGCTACCAAACAATCACAACTGCATGCAGTCCTTAATTTGACACGGCACAAGAAGATTGTTGATAGTATAGACAGTTTAGTCCCAGCTTTTTCTGTATGTGCGGCTGAGGCCTGTGCTTCACTGACTGCGGTCCACCACCTCCTCCTCCTACCATGGTGGCTGCGCTTGGTGCAGATGTTTTATTCTGTTGTGCCGCGGTAATTGGCAGCTGCTGCTGGTGAGACAAGACACTTCCATTGTCAACAGTTGTGGTAATAATATCATGGATGATTGTCCTTGATCTGCTCATCCTTTCTCTGAGCATGCTCTTCCGAACGAAGTATTTCTGTGCGTGGCTTGCAACTTGGGCTGGAGCGAGTCTCGGAAATCACAGAGTTTCTTGATATGCTTTCCCAATCCCCCTCTCCAAACTTTTTAAGTGAAGAACGTGGTACAAAATTTTATTTGAAAATAGAACTGAAGAGACACTAAAAAAAAACCAAACCGACGACAATTAAGACTTTCTCCGAAATGATTCATTTGTGAATGTCAAAGTGCACGATCTTCAAAAAAATAAAAATAAAATAAAATAAAAAAAAACTAAAAACTATGTTGCATGCAGAAAGATTCATGTTGCCACATTATCATGCATTTTCTGAATCCGACTTGACCTAATTCTGCATTTTTATCATTTTTCTCTCATGAAAGGAAAACTTACCTACATTTGGAATGTCGGTTTTGTTGAGGAAGCAATAAATAATAAAAATCTTACTAGGGTAGGAATAGTTTTCACTCTTTTTTTGTCGAACTCGACATGTTTAGGCTAGGATTTCTTGGTGACGCTAGAGAACGTGAAAAATGATGAGGAGTCACTTTTATTCCCTCTAAGGCTGCGACGTAGGGTTTGTTAATTTCTGCAGCTTCACAGTCCCAATTGGCTTTGATCGTTATAGAGACGTATTATTAACAAATCCGTGTATGTATTTAGTCCTACAGGATGTACGTAGTTCAGTTTGTATACTTCTCTAAGCCTGAATGATATGAGTGTTTGAAAGTGAAGTCCTCACCAAAAATGCTTATGATAAATGACTTCAATGTTTAATAGAAGCGTTTTACTATATCTACAAGGCTTCTGAGCGTAAGTGCTTTTTGAAAAAGCAAACCTGAACATAAATGTTTCTACTTTCTAGTGTTTTTACTGTTTCATATATATAGCTCCGCAAACTCGAAATCCCTATAGCTACAACATGCATACATAGGATTTGAAATATACAATTCCAATCATCAACGTTGCATTCCAACTCTCTGCCATCACGCATGCCCTAAAGCTCCCTTGGCCCAGTGGTCGGTCTTCACCGGGCACTTGCCTTGGCAAGAATGGACCACTGGAAGCCATTTTTTGAGTTTTTTCCCCAACGGTACAACGAGAGATGGCAACACAAACTACATTCCAGTAATTAAAGCACAAACTACAGAAACCTGTATTCAATATAACAGCAGATATATATATATATATCTATAGAGAGAGAGAGAGAGAGAGAGAGAGAGAGAGAGAGAGAACACAAACTATGTTCTGGTAATTAAACACTACCACGACCTGTATACAATCTCACTCAGAGCGATGTCTCATCCGTTAAAACAAGGTGACACACCGACAAAACAGACTCCATCAATCAGTCACTCGCCCGGCCATCAACTGCAAAAGGGTATCGGCGAAAACCCCGGGGCCTTTACACAATACTAACTGGTTCCAGATGCTAGACTGCTAGCAACAAGGCAACAGCATACAAGAAATAATGAAACCATGAAGCTGTATATAGTGCTCCGCTTCTATATTTACAGTTTTACTAATGGATGACAACCATCTATAACATAGATATCCCGATAACCAGTGAAGGGCGACAATGACCGTCTGTAACTCTTCTGAGAGGAACCCATTGGTGGGGCACCGAGATGAAAACTGTGTTATATACTCTGATGACTTTTATTATTCTTCCTTTCCCCTCCTATTTCCATATCGTCACCACCAAACTTGGCAGTTTCTTCAAAACACATTATCTTTATATACCGGTTTCTTTATGGGTTTCCCAAAAGGAACATCTTTGCTGCCGAAGCTTTTTGTTTACACCTGGTAATCTGTCCGGCAAAAACGGACAGCTTCAGGGCGCTGCTATAGCCTCACTATGAAGGTTCTCTTTTTCTCCTTTTTTTGGTAATTAGCTCTCAAGGTTCAAGTAGCCACACATCACACTACAAAGTCACAAACAGAAACCAATTTAAGTCATTTATAAGAAGACAAATCCCCATTTAAGCCTTTTATCAGAAGCGTCGATTTCCTCTTTTCTCTATTTCTTGCAATATATACTAATCATGCATACATGGATTTCTTAATTACCCATCATACATGTAACACAATATCTATATGTTATTTTCAATGCTGGTAGATCATGCATGGATTCAACAATACTGCAGGAGGGAGAAGCGTCTGGAAAGAGAGAACTTCAAAATGAAATGCTAGGCTTTGATGGCAAACTAATGCAGTTGTGCACGCAGCAGTTCTAGAAAATGGTAGCATAGCTAGCAGTTTCCATAGTCAATATAAAAATAGCATCTTCGGCAGTGCTGGCAATAGTGATCGTCACAACATACCAATGCAAGTGAAAGACTCCGGGAATCTCAAATGAAAGCCATAAGAACAAAACAAGAAACTTCATATAGTGCATTAGGGTACCCCAATTCATAATAGATGACAATTGATCTCATTTAAATTTTAACTGTCCTGCTATGATTTACCACTCTTGATGGCTTGTACCATTGGTGTCCAAAAGAGTCATTATAACACACAAGAAATTTAATTTCTCAAAAATAGTTCATTAAACAGTTAATTCCCTACTTGCCGGTCACTAAACAATTGGAAGACTCAGAGAAATACCTAATTAATTTTTTTTTTTTTTTTATCAAAAGCAATAACTAATTAATTAAAAAGAATAAAAAAAGAGCCATCCGTATTGCAAATGAATCACATGTTAAGTTTTGATCTGTCTCGTGGTGTTTTACCTTTTACCTTCTACTTTCACTGCTCTACCTTTTAGAGGTCTATAATGCATATATTCCTACAACCTTAGTTAGTTTCTCTCTTATCATTAACTGGTATCACTCTTTTTCAATCGACTTGTATGGCCTTTTAGTGACTCCTATCAATTATCCATAGCATAGAAAATAATGAAAGCAGGATAATTTAGTTGATGATCAGAATAATTCAGATGATGTGGATATAAAACTGATCCAAAATAAGTGCTTACCAGTTTAAGAAAAAATAAATCCTTAGGAACCAGAACTCGACTTCTGAATCCACACTTGTTTCTGCAGACACATTAAAGTAAAAGTTTAAAAGCCTATTACAGAATGAGCAAAAGACAAGATAGTGAAAACAAGTAAAGCAGCATGCTAAAAACAGACTTCATGCACCTCGTGGGAGCCATAGCCTCTCTTCGAATGTTTTCCTTCACCTGCAACTGGGGAGCCATCAAGTTCCTTAACATGTTTTGCTCCACGGCGACCATGATGTTTATGAGAGCCTGCATTAAGTATTAGCATTTGTTATTACTACATTAAGAAAAATGCACCAAGCTCCTGCCTAGCTAAAGATGCATAAATAGATCGCGCAAATGCAGAGGTGCTTTAATGTGCAAAACATTTGCTAGTCATACAGAAACATCATTTAAAGTCATAAGAACCCAAATTTTGATCCCGGAATAATAATGGCATAAAACTGCCATTGCCTGTGTTTGGTCAAAATTTCAATAGCACCACAAAAATTTAGGCTTGAGAATATCACCTACATACAAAAGCTAATGTAACATACATATCACATGCATTGTACCCTATTACCTAAACCTCCCCCACATTATCCTGTGTTGGAAGTATTACAAGTGGAAATTTGACACAATCCAATCAGTCACTAGTCACTACAACAATTTATGAGTAAGCATGTAAGCTGCACAGCCTGCACCATATTTAGAAAGTGGGGCGCCCTTATTAACCTATATTTAACTAGTTTTTTATAGTCAAAATAGTAGATAATCGATCAAATAAACAGCATTTGAAGTTTCACAAAAAATTGTTCCTCTTCAATTTTACCAACATAGAGATGTTAGAATTTTTGTTCATAATTGCGTTTTTGGAACTTACGCAGATATCTAATAGCTGGGTTTTAAATTCCCACTTGTAGTATTTAATATAAGAACTCTACACAGGAATTTTTTTTATCATGAAAAATTATGCCTGATAAGCTCTTCAACGTTTCAACAATAGTATTTTCTTACCTATGTCCATATTATTTCAATTATTCATGGAAAGGAACATAAACATTGATGCACTGTAACCCGAAAACAAAGTTTTCTTTGAATAGGAATCGCACCTTCTGAAGAATCTAAAAGTGAGTGATCTGGTTGAAAAGCAGATGAGAAAGACTCATCACTTGCAGATGATCCATCTAAACGATTAAGAGGCGTCCATACACCACGATCAGGTCTGTCCTTATTTCTTGTCCGTTTCTCCTGCTTCTCACTATAAATATCATGCAAGTCATACCCAACTATCTTATGATCTGGAGCCCCATTTGTATCCTTTAAAATCAATTGCACATGTTGCGATCGAGGAAATTGTTTGTCCCTATCTGAACTCGAACTCTGGATTTGCTGCCCCGAGTGAATCCCAGAAGACTGACTTTGACGTGCCTCCTTGTTTAGAAGTATGCCCTTTATAATCCTTCCATTATCATGACGACGCGGGTTCTGATTCAGTGCAATTGAACCACCTATGTTTTTAGAATATGAACTCTGCTGCTGTGACATGTTTGGCGGCACCTGCACAAGGAGTGATAGACATGAACAGAAGTCAAAGAGACCACATCTCTCAGTGTGCATCTTCAACCAGTCTTAATACGCAAACAAAAGGTTGCACTTTGTGATATATTTGATGACCATTTTTCAGAAGCTAAATGTTTATTTTACATAACATAATGCTTAAAATATGCAAATTAATACATAGTTGCATCTAGATCTTTTCCACAGAAACATGCGCTCAATAAACAATATAATAGTATGTACATGCATGTCTTTACCACTACGGTATATGCACCTATAGCCACTATCACAACTGAATATAGCGTTAAATTATATCATGCTGTACAAAAAGTGCAACAAGTTAACTAGTATGTAAGTTTTAACTGGCATCATTTGGCATATTGATAGAACCACATAATAAAACATAAATAAGCCCTCCCGGCCCACCATTGAAAATTAATATATGTAGAGAAAAAGATAACCAATAGTAAATGAGATCAGGATCAAGCAGGAAGGAGGAGGTGTACATGAGATATCTCCTTCTCTTTCCCTTTCACAAGCAAGACTTTCTTTTTCCCAGCATCAGCACCAGAAACTCCTGAAATAGTGGTAAGTACTTAAAGATCAAAACTGAAACCAACTCACTGTCAGAAGAAAAAGGCATACCAGAATTCAGGAAACAACCGCAAAAGAAGGTTTTGGGGGTGGGGACATCAATAAAAGAAAATACCATACAACAATAACAATCCAGTACCTGAAAAGGGAATACAGACAATACTAAAAAGGGAACGATAGGAGGGAGGAAAAAACCTACAAACTCAAATGTGAAAGGATGCAAGGAAGAAGCTTGCAAATGCAGAACTGTTTCGATATTCTCCAACTAAAACTTATAACCATATCAAGCTAACATGAAAATTAATTGAAACAATGAAAATTACCAAAAAAAATTCTTAGCTATGAAAGCATTTTCTGCAACCAAATCAAGATTATAACCGAACTAAGACCAAAGTTCAAAACTCAATGAAATTTAAAACCTTAAATTCTGTAAATGACCAAAAGCACAATGTCCATTCCTAAAACTATAGTTCTGCAACATAATCACAAAATCACAAGAGCCATAAGAATGAAAGGGAAAAGAACTTTGACGTCAAAGTACATTTAAAAGAGCCATCAAAAGTGATAACTCCACTTCGCAGACGAATAAAACCAGTGAGTCATTACATGGGAGTGAAGGTACTAGGGGCAAACAATGCATAGTCGTCAGCAAATACTCTCAAACAATCAAACGACATACCACTATCTTCCAACAATTCAGTTCCAACTGCAGATGCCAAAGTGGCAGACTTCTTGGAAGGTTGCTGATCCTCGCGCTTGGGTACCAATATATGTGTTGACTTGTTTTTGTCACCGGTGTTCTTTCTAGCATCCCTCACAACATACCGCAAATCAGACAGACCCTATTAACAACCATAAACAAAATATTTGACATGCAATCAATTATAAATTACGAGACAAATACGGAACTAGGAACTGCAAAAATTGAAAAACTAAGAAAACACCATAGGCTGGCCAACTACAAGAAAACAGAATAATGCAAAACCCAATGAATAAGATGAAAATGGTCCAGCTGGAAGAGGATAAACCATGGATTCTACATTTAGTACGATACCTTTTAATACCAGAAGTAATGCAGAGAACCAACAAAATTATTCAAATTTTGGATATACAACCCATACCCAAAAGTTCAAAAAGCAATTACCCTTACAAGTTTCATCTCTTCTATTTTTTGAACAATGACATATGATAACAATAACATTGATCAAATATAATGACTAAAATGTTGCATATATGAGTACTAGCACTATTAAATTCATGGTATTATAGCTTTCAAAGAACATAAATAAAAAAGGGGGTTACCATTGCTGAAAGTATTTGTTCAATTCCTGGGGAACTCCAAAGGTTAAAAGTTGAGACATATCAACCCCTCAATTCGATTATATGGAAAAGTCTGGCCAATGCAAATGTCGAACTCCTAGTGAACCATTGTTAAACATAAATATCTACCAGCCTTCGTCATATTTGAACATGAAGGTAGAGTTTCACACAAGCACTGAGAAGAGAGATGATCTATAATTTGAAACTTATGACCATGTTAACCAGGATTTCCAAGATGATGTGGGGAATGAAAAGGATTCCAAAGAAGGTGGAGGTCGTGAATCACTGGGTGTTCTAGATCAACAGTTCTCAATTCCGATCAATCACTGGGTGTTCTAGATCAATAGTTCTCAATTCTGATCAATGGGAGGCTAAGAGTGAGATTTACCACTCAAACAGTTATTCAGGAAAAATATAACAGAATATATAGCGATTTCATAAACTGGAGTTCCCCTATGTGAACTTCATATGCATAAAAAAATAAGTACCATTGAGGCAGAATTCTTTTTCCTCTCAGAACCTCGTTTGGTCATAGGTAAAGTAGGACTTCGAGCAGATGATACACCAGCTCTTCTGCTTGCTTTACCATTAGACAGTAACCTCTGTCAACAAACAAGAAGTATGCTTAGAAAGTCATCAATCATTATCTAAAATTCAATTTTAACAGCTCCCAACAGCACTAAAATGCAATAATTGAAAATCATATTAAAATATGAATTTCCACTAATCAATTGTCTCCTAGTTTTCAGTAAAATAATCCATAAAATACCCGAGATCCGGCCTTGGCAGCCCTTTTTTGACGAACAAAGTCCATTAATGGTGTAACTATAGGAGCATCCTTTCCAGCACCTTTAAAAAATAAGAAAAGTGAACCATTTAAAAGAATGCACTATGAGAATTTTGAGTTTTCGGAATTTTCTTTGTTGTCTATAATTTCAAGCTCCAAGCTTATATTATATTAAGAGATCTGTCTGACTAACCAGATCGTTCTGCTTCTCTTCTCTCCAATTGTAACTCTGCACTTGGAAGATTCTCAGCAGGCTTTGCAATAAATTCAAGAAACTCCAGATACTCGGGATCTAGATGTTCATCAAGTAAATACTTGTACTTACTAACAGGAAAATGATTGTATATATAAGTCCACGTGCAACAAAACAAGCTGTCGAATTTTTATTTAAATGAATGTTAAATGTTAAATTATTACCTCTGAATATGGTTCCTTCACGACCATCCTTCTTAGACCAATGTTCTGGAACACGTTGTGATGGAGCATACTCAACAATAACTTTAAATTGATCACCTGAAAATGGAAAATAAATACGTTTAAATTCCATGTCTCATATAAAAATTGTGAAAGGTTCCCGAGACAAATAGAATATAAACAAAGACAAAAACATGAGAATGGCATGTTAAGTCTTCTAACAAAATTAAAAAATTCAGCGTTTATATTTCTTGAGCTGCAAGTAAAGCACAAGAAAAAACTTCCTTACCACCCTGAGTTTGGAGTGCGTCTTAGCAACAGAAAGAATAAATGTAATTTAAAAAACAAACATGCGCATAAGCTTAATAAAGATATATTTCAACAAGACTTCCACTTCCAGCAAGAGAATTTATGTGTATGATAAATCCGCAAATGCATGCTCAAACAGTACCCTTCTCATTAACAAACAGATGACCGTCAAAGAATTCAGCAAACTCGAATACATCCTCTGGCCTCTTCAAATCAATGTAGGCTCTAGAATATGACTGATTCTTTTGGCTGAAAAATTAATTCAAGAAAAGAAAATTAGCTAATCTTCTATCCAGCCGAACATTCAAAGTTTCAAACACTTGATGCTCAAATGTGGCTAGTCATTATGCTATTACAATTACAATTTAAGCCATGAAAGGAAGTTTCAACATTAGAAGAAGGAGCACAGAATTATCAAATAAAAGTAGGAAACAAAGCCACAGAAACAAGCAACAGCCGGAATAAAGGATTCTTGAGATACCACCAATACTGGAAACATTTCCTTAGACTAAAATATAAATGCAAGAACCTGGAGATGACACAGTAGCTATGAAAAACTATGCAATCCGAACCATGCAAACTGAAATGTGAAAAATCTTAAACAGATAATGGTAACAATAAAATTTCTGACTTTGCAATATATTACATTCATCAATGACCTTCAAGAGCACAAAATAGAAGGTCAAAAGACATATTCCAATTGCAAATCCATGTTAAAGACGATCACAGGAGCGATCAGAGGAACCCACCCAACATTCCCATCCGATACAAAGTCCACATTCCAAGTAGCATGAACCTATGGTACTTAATTTCTACGGAATAATTATGCTAACCCATCAACAAAATGACGAAAACAAAGCCAAACCGACACGTAAAACAGCAAAAGAAGTTGTATTTCAAGTAAAACCAATAAAAAAATTTGACAGCAACCCCTAACCTCTTCTTGCCCGGACGAAAAGCGACCCAACTGTAGCGGCCAGCAAAGAAACCGTCGATTTGTTCCACAAGCGCAGCTTGCGAAATCGAAGGCGGCAAGTGTCGCAGCACCACCTTTGTACGATCCAACTGGCCCTTCATCATCTCCCCTTCCAAAAACTAAAAACCCTAGAAACCAACTAAAAGCTTCGCAGCAGACTCGAGCGATTTTCGCAAATTGCTTCGAAAATACACGAAAAATTGTCCGTTAAACTACATCTTCTTGGCTTCTGAAGAACCCTAATTCTCAATTGAAAGCCCAAATTCACCAATCGCCATGCACGGAAAAGCTACAGACGCAAGAGTGAGTTGGAAACGGTTGCGTTTTGCGCTTTCAGGCGTCCTCCCCCTCTCCTCTGTCCTTCTCTCTGGGTTTTGTGCGAAGAAGTCATATATGTATGCATACGTGGGCGTGTTGGCGCGTGACATATGGAAGTAATAACGTAGGACGCACCGTTTAGACTCCTAATTTTACGGGGAGGTTTCGGTTTATTTTTTTATTTCTATTTTTTTAACAAACGATATTTTTTACATTAAAAAGATGAGAAAATTGTTTCGGTTTTATTCAGTTTTTAGCAAAACCGAAAACAAAACCATCTTCAACACTTCAACTTAAAAACCTCCAACTTCTAGTAATTTGCTTATGCTCGGAGGGAATAGCCTTCTATAGTTAAGGGTACGTTTTGCCTATTTTGGTTCAGTTTAATTTTTAAACAACTAAATTGAAACCGAACTAATAAATTTCAATTTGGTTCAGTTCTTCAATTTCAGTTTGGTTTTATTTCAATTTGGTAAAGATTATCATTACTATACTCACTTCTACTCATTTCTCTTTATCATTTTTTGTTTAGTTTTGTAACAATAATGCGTTAAAATAAGATACAAATATGCAATTGGTTTGGAAAAAATTGAGAGTATTAAATATTTGGAAAATTTGAGAGAAATTACGATATAATTATGTATTTAACAAGTATTGGAGCTTGAATTCGAAACTAAGTAAAATATTAATGTGTCACTTAGTACTATGATCTAATGGTATTCATTTTCACCTGTAAGTAATCATATCCACATTATTGCTAACTCATTATGAAGCAAAACTCATCTGTTTTAGTACAAATAATATTGTTTATTCTAAAAAAAATAAAAGTGATTAGTTGTATAAAGAATAAGTTGAGTAAGTAAGACATTTAATATTAGTTCTTGTTAATATCAAATTAAATTAAATATGCTCTAAGTGATTACCAAAAAAAAATATGCTCTAAGTGTGCGGGAAAGAACAATTCAAGTATTATAATACAAGTGCTTAGGTTTACTTTCAACACTCTATTTTTTTAGAGTGTCATTGCAATTATATTATGACGCTAATATATCGAGCCGTCTTTCCAGGAGATTAAAAAAATCTCACCCAAGTCCGAGGTTTTTAAACCATGCTAACCCCAACGTGCGGCAGCGGATCAGGTGGGCGGCACAACAAAAATAATACAGCAGTGGCCCAAAAAAAAAAAAAAAAAAAAAACGGAAAACTAAAACGAGTGAGATTTGATTGAATATAATAAATACAAGGAAGGGATCATTGAGACTGGTGGTGTAGTAGGGATTGCCTCTTTGTTCACTCTCTCGCACCAACCCCCACCTCCAATAAGGGGCAGAAAAGATTTGAATCTCTTTGCCCCCACCTCCCTCGTCTCTCCTTTCCGTCCGGTAAGCCTCTCTCTCTGTAAGTACATGGTATTTTTTTTCTTGCTGGGTTGTGTGTTGTTCTATTGGGTGCTGCGTGTTTTCTTCCAAGTGGGTTCAATTTTCTTGTGAAGGTATTGCTTTATCGGTGTTTTTCTCGACTGGGTTTTGCTCATTTGACCTTTATATAGTGATATGCCATTTTTTCTGCGTTTTCTGAAGTGGTTTTGTTCATTTCTGTTGTGGGTTCTTTGATATGTACAGTAGTCCCTGTGGTATGGGGGAGAGAATCCCTCCTGGAAGTTACTTCCAGTACCCACCTCCTGGAGTCCATGCTTCTCCACGCAGGTCTTCTCTCCCTGCAGACCGAGAGAGGTCAGTAATTTGCTTAATATTTTATGTTTTACCTGTTAATTCGATCTCATTTCGGTTCCTTGTTGATAGTTTATCAGTGATATATGTAGCTGGTGGTTCCATACTTGACGTTTTCTGTCGGTGTGAGTGGTGGTTTTATCATTATATATCGATGGCTGTTCTATTCATTTTGTCTTTCATAGAAAATACTTTAGTTTTCAAGGGATTATGTGTTTTATCCCATATATGTGGCTGTCCTATGCTTTTCTGATGTATTTGGGTTTCAGTCCTTATATTTCCTCTAGTATCTTTAGTAGGATTAAGATAGTACTGCTCTATGAACTTTCGAGTCCTCGAGCATGCCCCATGAGTTTTTGGGAGTTAATTACATAAACCTCACATTTGATTTTCAGTTTCAGATGGAAAAATATTTAAAGGGAGCTAGTAAATGATTTCATATTTGGGAGATTGTTATTGCAGATTTCACTTTACCTTGTAATTTAACTACTTTTTTTTCTTCCTGAAATGTGATAAATTATATCTAGATTGCCGGTTTCTTTTACTGTTCAAGATAAAATGTTTATGTTTTTATAGATATGTCTTGTGAAGGAATTTCGGACTTTATTTGAAGTAGAAATATTGTTTAAATGCCATAAATAGTCAATTTGTTTTACCAATCAAGAAAAAAATTGATTGCTACTTTCGTACGTGCGTTTGGGAAGTTGATTTTGATACATATCATACAAAATTGACCTTTTTTTTTTTTTAATTGCCATTAATTGATCTATATAGCCAGCGAACCACACTGAATATCAAACAAAGTAATCCTCAGGAACTTGTTACCATGGATAAGCTTCAATGGGTAATGTTAGTGCTTGCAAATTGGGATTTAACCAGAAAAGTTCTTATTTCACTTCACATCTGCCGCTTTCATATCATACATTGTGCTCTTCTAAATATTGAATCAAAGCATAAAAGGAAAAAGACAAACCCACTCATTCTTTTGATGCGATCATGCTCTTCAGTGGAAAAGTGTGGTTAGCATGGCAGGTGAAAGTCGTGAGACATAGTTTTAAACCTACTTTCATGCTCACCTGCTTTTTCTCTGATCTTTTAAGTGGAACCCAAATCACTGCCGTTGTTATGCTTATTGCCGTTGTTATGCTCACCTGCTTTTTTACTGTTGGGAGGGAGTGGAGTTTGGGGACAAATTTCAATCAGTCTTTATTGTGGACTTCAGACTGTTCAAAGTTCAGAGAAACTCTTCTTTTTGCTTTGCTGTTCCTTTACAGGCTGGAGGGGCTGCTTTTATCCTTTTAGTCTTATTAATGTTCTTTATTATGTTAGCTTCCAAGTCATCTTGTCCATTGTAATGATGTTCGTACTTTTCTCGATCACTGATGCACATCTCACTTCATGCATACAAGTGAAGATGAAGTGACGATGTTTGAGCATGTTGCTCATTCCCTTTGAAATCGTGACCATTTTCCAGTAATACTTCAATTGAGTTCGTAAAAACAATCATTCAAACAACGTTGTGATTTCTGCATATATGATATAGCATGAATATTCTTTCTTGAATTACATTAATACACTTCACTTTTGGAATGTCGACTAGTAGGGTGCACTACGCAATACTGCTTTTCGAAGTATGCTAGGAGTTGACACATGATTTGGCTGGTGTAATGGCAGATATTTGGCTGAACTACTGGCAGAGAAGCAAAAGTTGGGACCATTCCTGCAAATATTTCCCCTATGTAGCAGACTTCTAAATCATGGTCAGATGAAATTTCTATCTAATGTTTTTCCCCTATGTAGCCGCTTCTAAATTTTATGTCACATTAAATTTTGTTCTCTCTTGTGAACTAACTTTTTTTGTTGTTGAAAATAAGTTTTGACCACCCTTTTATCTTTTAACCCATAAACAATATACTTTTTTGATGCCATGACAGAGATCAGACGAGTATCAGGCTTCAATCAAACTCTCGCAGATCATGAGAGATTTGAGCATGACAGTCCATTTAGGTCATCAAGTCAAAATGCGAATGGTCGACCAATGGATTTGGAGGGATGGCCAGGAATACACATGGAGGTAATGCTAGTTATAGATGTAGGCTATGTGTACTTTGTAATTTGTTTGACTTTTTTACCATACTTGTTGTGGCTTGAATTCAATATCATTGTTTAATTTTTTTTTATTTTTTTTTTTCCCAGAGTATTAGAAGCATAAAAGGGCGTAGTATTTTCTTGCATGTGTGACAGTATAACCTTCATTTCTTGAAATGTAAGATGAGATTTTGAATTTTTATGCATGTTTGAGAAGCCTGTGAGAGACGATGCCAGAGCTGTGGTCCAGTTTGTAATGTTTTGGTGGCCATCCAAGCCAAATTCCAATATGTTACTGTTGGAACAACTCCACCATTTGTATTCAATCATCTACCTGTAGCTGAATAAAACTCTTTGATGGTGTATGATTTAGTGGGAAGAGAGTTTAGGTTTTGCTCATGTCTTATGTTGTTTGTATGTGTGAATCTTCATTCATGATAATTTCTCCTATAGGACAATGGACATATCCAGAGAATGGCCCCGTTCCAATCTCCTTCTATGGGCTGGCCTGGGGCGCAAGGAATTCCAGCCACCCCTATTGTAAAGAGAGTTATTAGACTTGATGTTCCAGTTGACAAATATCCACATGTAAGAAAGGAAGGGGTTATGATTTGTATAGAGTTTATTTTCAACCTTTTTGTTTTAATTAACAATTTTTCACTCCAAACTTGGCAGTACAATTTTGTTGGCCGAATTTTGGGACCACGTGGGAACTCCTTAAAAAGAGTTGAAGCCATGACAGAGTGTAGGGTGTACATCCGAGGCCGGGGCTCTGTGAAGGATTCTGTAAAGGTAGTGTTAATATTTTTTGGAGTAGTTAGTTGGCAATGGCATGGTTGCATGAAAATTTAAGTCTAAATTTGCTCATCCATATTTGTTTTAGAGGCATCAATCCATGCATTTTACAAAAGGATTTTTTTTTTTTTTTTTTTTTTTTTTTTTTTTTTTCTGATTTACGGTGGAGTTTGGCTCATTAAAACTAAGTTCGTAGATATCTTATGTTTTGTCTGCCACCTGCAAACTTCTAAACAAGGACATGTCAAATTGTAGGTGATGGCATAGACGACTCTTGTCCATGTTCATCTAGTGTCGATGTGTGTTTCCTTTTTAGTTTTTACGTATTTCAATGCTAACAATGCTCATGAAGTTTTCAAATATGGGAATCCTAGCGAATCAATTAGAAACTTAGACATAATTTTTTGTTCTGAATACAGTTGTCCTTAGATATATTGCATTGTTGTTTTGGTAGGTTAGATTTATATATTTATTTATGTTGGTTGAAGTAAAAGGATAGTGCAGTGAAACCTCGTCATAGTGACACTCTATATTGTAATAATCTCCATTTAATCATGAAAAATGTTTGTACTGTAAATCACTGCAAACAGCTTGATCTATCGAAAATGATGTAGATGGAGGTAGCTAGGAAGTTACTGATTTTCTTATCATCCTCAACTGGGATTGTAACTGATTATTCTTTATTCTTTTGTTATCCTTTTATCTTCGGCTGGGGTTTTACCTGATTACTCTTGTATATCTTATCTTGAATTCGCTTGCCTAACCTTTTATCCTTACATTTTTGTGGTCTCAATATTTGAATGACAAATAAGTTGGACATTTTCTGAATGGCATTGTGTACTAAAAATGGAAGGCGGAGTATCGATTTTCAAACTTCATTGAAGAGTTATTTGTTTGAAAAATACTCATGTATCCTTGTCAAATTTTAGGTTTCAGTGATATCATTTGGCTCCTTACATATTTGTACGGATTCTGATTTTCATGATGCGCCGTGTACATTGTTTTTATTCAGGAAGAGAAATTAAAAGATAAGCCTGGATATGAACATCTTAATGAGCCGTTGCACGTGTTGGTGGAGGCTGAATTTCCGGAGGATATAATCAACGCTCGGTTGGATCATGCGGTGGCAATACTAGAGAACCTTCTGAAGCCTGTGGTATGAATAGTATCGATCATGTAGTTTTGACTCTTAATTCATTTTCTTGGACAAGTTTTAACCCGTCTCTTGCAGGACGAGTCCTTCGATCACTATAAGAAGCAACAACTCAGAGAATTGGCTATGCTAAACGGTACACTGAGGGAAGAGAGCCCTAGTATGAGCCCAAGTCTAAGCCCGAGCCTGTCGCCCTTCAACAGTACAGGGATGAAGCGAGCCAAGACAGGAAAATAATAAAATCCTCAAAATATGCTGATCACGAGTAGTTTAATCACAGAAACTTTCACATCTGACTTGTCGAAGTTTTGACTTCCAACACATTGGGAGGCATTATTGACAAACTGATGAACTGATTTCGAGCCCTTCTTCCGGCCTCTCAGATGGGTCAACAGCTTCACTAGTTCCATGCGACATGCCTTCAACGTCCACGGTAATATATTCTTTCGTGTGTTATCCCATTGATAGCGAACACATTACTATTCTTTAGTTATATTGTAGCTTATAGCCTCTAGCTTGTAGGCCGTCGTTTGAATCTTTCTGTGATCATATTCCAGCATCTTGTACTAGGCAAAATGCTACTCATTGACTAGTTTTAATTTTGTTTTTGTATGCATATGTTGTGCAATTGTTTGCAATAAAAATAAAAAGTTCAGATGAGTTTCTAATTAGTGTCACTCTGTTTTGGCTTCACTGTATTCACTTTTCCCCGTTAGCTTTGTCATTTGTCAACGTTACATTGCAAGTGGTGGATTATTTTGATTGATATAACTTTTTTTTTTCAACCCACTGTGTCTCGAGTTTAAACTCTTCTTTTTTCTTAGTGTAGCTTATGTTAGTGATATCATTTGTGATAAAAGTACGTTTCATTTATGTTAATTGTTAAGGAATAGAATGAAATTTATACAACAAATGACGCTTTACCGCAGTGGCCAAGCAAGTGCACTATGGTGCAGGTTCGATCCCTAGGGAATCCCTTCTCCCCCGACAACCAACTACATAACTCACTAACGGTATTGTTCGAAAAAAAAAAGAAAAAAAAAAGGAATGAAGTTCATACATATTTACTTGAAATGGGAAGAGAGAACGAGAATTGAATAAAGTATTTCACCTAATCAGTCCAATTCATGGGTTTTCTAAGTATTTAAATTATGGTTTGTAATGTCGAATCCATTTGTCCTTTTCGCGGCTAATAAAGTAGGACCCACCAACACATTTGAGTCTCATCTCAAAAACCACAACGCTAATTGCAAACCAAACCTTCCATTATTTCATATGAACACAACCTGTTCACATATGTGCTACTGTGACGCCCATCTACAACACACGAAACAACGGACTCCACTTTTCTTTCGGGTGCTCATCAAGCATCGTTGGAAGTAGTGTTCGGTCACAGAAACAGGGTTTTGAAATAACAGTTCCGGCACCTTCTTCGATCTTTACTTTAAAGACAAGGCAATATAAGTTTAGAGATACCTTAAAGATCATAAGACATAGAAAGGGAGAGACTGGAGTGAGCAGGAGGAAACATCAAGACAATTATATATGAGTTCTAAAACAGAAATTACGGGTTCGAAGGTCCTACATGGACATTCACAGCTCACTCCCAAACTTAAACAGCAAAATTCTACAACCCGTTCAAAAAGTTCAAGAACGAACCACAACTGAATGATCGTTCCTAAAGTAAAGGCAGCATAAGCCCCAAATTTTGGGTGAAGAACAGATACGACACACATAATGCATTGCTAAAACATGGACAACTGCGCCGGTAATAATTCAAAAATAATAAAAAGATATCTCCACGTTATAAATACTTGGCTCCAACCTGCCTAGTATCTGATTTCGCCTACAAGTAAACAGGATCATCATGGAACTCATGAAATGATAGCACGTAAAGCTTACCACTGTGCTGGTAAGTGGCAAATCACCTGTAAGATAAACAGATTTGCCCGAAATCTTGTAATATCAAATTTTTCTAAAAGCAGATCAACATGAAAATCAAACAATGACAAAAAGAAAACAAGTAGCTTTGAAACATTAGAAATGATACCACTATCTAGATTCAGATGACTAAGTTCTCAATATTTTTTGTATTGAGAAAGACAGCCTGACCCTGCAAATTGTATTGCCGTCATTTTCATATAACCTCGACAATGAACCCTTCAAAAGTTAACCAATTGAATACAGATGGCACTAATGGCTTACTAGACTTACAGTTGGCTTAAACTATATCAAGATTCAGACAACTTACTAAGACTTTGATGTCAATCAAGCAGGTGAATTCAAAATCAAGGTCATTTATACACACTGACTGTGAACCTCAGCGTTCCATATGAAATAGTATCCTTTCTTTAGCTCAGATATGGTATGATATCATACCCAAAAACAAAACGAAATATAAAAGGATAAGATTACATTTGAAGATATGATTACAAATGTCACAATTGACAGAAATTATCTAACCTCAACCCCAGACACCAAACTTCCATTTTGGTTAGGAGAGAGTTTTTCAAATACAAAATCCTTTCAACCCTGCAAAAACAAAGAAGAAAACTCCCTCATTAGGAAATAATTCATCAACCAATAATCATATAGATAGAAGTAACCATATGGAGAAATACCATAAACCGACTGACTTTCCAAACTTAACCAGGATACAGTAAGCGATGGACATCTCAAGGATTTGATAAATACTCGCAATTTTTTTTGGTCAAAATGCTCGCAAAAATTTTGGTAGATCATCTACATAAATTAGAGTATGATCAAGATTCAAAACACAAGTAAAAAGGAAAATGATACTCAAAAAACCATCAGAGTCTAGATTTCTAAATGAAAACAATGGAAGATTAGAAACTGATATTATCTCACTTTATATTGATCCATATAGGCTTCTGTACACAAAGTGGTCTTTCCCTTTTACAATACACTATTAATAACTCTTACTCTTCCCTAAACACATCTTTAGAATTCCCACTATACCGTTGGTGTTCCTATAAAAGATTGATGTCAATTTTGATATCTTTAAGAGCATCTCCAATGGGAGATGCAGAATGTCTTGGGGAGTGCATTTTACAGTTCTTGTTGGCCAGAAAGCCCTCCAATCGGTGAATCTTAAGGGGTTGTAAAATAATACCCATCTTGCTGGAAATTGTAAGTACAAATGTAAATTTGCATCTCTCAATTAAAATGCTCTAAGTAGTTTCTTCGTATTCTGACACCCTACTAATTACAGAGTAGAAAATCTAAAACAATTTTCAAAAGAAGGAAATAATAGTTTGCACATTGAAAAGAAGAAGAAAAAAGGGCTTGGAGGTACACCTTGAATATAAACGAACAGTACATCAATCCCGAAGACCGAGTTCGAGCTCAAGCTCATCGTCCTCTTCAAACAACTTCAAAAGGCGAGCGTACTGTTCGTCTCGTTTCTTCTTTTGCCATAGCTTGAAAAGGAAAAAGGAGAACAACGCAACTACTACAAGTCCAAGGAATATGATGGCCAATGTAGACCCAGTGTGGCTGGAAGTAGAACGACTCTCAGATTTTTTACCATCTTTGGAACTAGATGAATCATCAGAAAAGCCTGAACGAAAAGGACCAAAAGTTAATAGATCTTATCGTGGTAACATGAGAAAAAATTAATCATATACATATCACATCATCAAGAAGCATCACATCTCATTCCTTCATCTGTTCATCTAATCCCCTCATGTCACATAAAGGCGTGTTCTACGAGAAGCAAGGATCTAGTCTATCATAAGGTCTAATTTCAAGACTTAAAAGTAATAGAACTTCAATTAAATCATGCGATGCTTAAGGGATGCTTCACCTCCAAGAATCTTAAAACAGACCAAAGCAAGCACTCAAACTTGAGAGTGAGACGTTGCAAAATATGTACATTTCTCTTTTGTTCATTTTCCAAAGGTTCTAACCCACACTGAACTCAACCACAGATTTCCGCTAAGATTACATTCGAAAATCCAGCTACGATACTTGGATTCCATAAAAACAGATAACCCAGATACACAATCCACTTCAAAGTTGGCAACAAGAAAGTATACATAACAAGACAATGTTCCAAAAAGATAACCAAAATTCAGATTTTTTTTTTCTTAATCTCAAATTTCAAATTTAAACATAAGCATTTCCTTTTGCGGGGAAACAATCAGGACAAGATTAAACAAACAATGACTAACTTGGGTTTGGTTAAGGTAGGTTTTTAGCTAATTAACAACAGAAAAAACACAAACTCGGAACTTTCTTTTTCTCAGAAACCAAACAAGTGATTTGAAACGGACCCAGAAAGCAACAAACAGAGATAATTCAATTACCAAATATAATAGCAAAATAATCCAATAAAATCAAGTAAAATTCGTTTATTTGTGATATACAAAACAAATATATATATATATATATCAACATAATTGATGCATAATGATTTTGAAATTGAACCTGGAAAGAATTGCAGAGAAATTGAAGCGAATAATAGAAACAAAGTCGGCGATCTGCAACCAGAAAATTCACTCATCTCTCCAAAACTCTGCGTCTCTGAAACTTTCGCTGTCTCAAAGTTTGGAGAGATCGCTCCCTTTCACCAACCACGCTTTTTGTGTTTTTTCCTTCTTTTTTATTTTTATTTTATTTTTTAAAATTTGAATAACAACAAAAATGTTGTTTTCTTTCCGTATGATCCACGTATTTTCCATATTACTAGTTGCACAATGTTGGATTCTTTTTTATCCTGACTTGAAGTCTATCTCTAAATTGTGAAATGATTCGAACTGTTTATTTTAGGTCATATTTTGAAAATAATTTACGCGAAAACTTATTTTAATTCATAGTTATATAACAGTTTTTTAATAGAATAGAGAATATTTTCTGATTTGGTTGATTATTTTATATAGTTGATCTTTTACAAATTAGACTGTTGCAGTGTAAAATTTAGAGTCAAAAACTATAAATGATGGTCATTGTGAGAAGGTTGTTTGCATTCTCCTCTAGTTTGTTTACATGGTAGAAATGGAGTTTTGATTCCAATTGTACAAAAAGTCTTAATCTTGTAAGACAAATACTCAACACGGACTATAGATCATAGATATGCTATTAAATCACGAAGCACAAGAACAAATTTGCAGTGCAAGGACAAGAAGAAAACATACCTGCAGAATTCGATGTAGAAGAAGTCATTGCAGCTTTGGAACTATTAACCTTCTCCTCTTCAGCAAAACACAATTGCTCTCTAAATAATAGGTCTCTAGAACGAGATAAGCAAAGATATAGCAAGAGCAGTGACTAATGTTCATATATACACACACACACATATATGTATCGAATGTCCCCAACTGATTCTCCTATTAGAATCAGTATAGGAGACAATCTACCAAACGATATTAGCACAAGAAAGAACTTACAAAATCTGGATTATCCTATAATAATCCTACAAGGAATACAAGACCAAATCTTTGTACGAGTTCTATTCTTAAAATTATCAACACAGAGTTTCAATCCAAACCAAAGTTGAATTAACTCTCATAAACATATTAAGACTTCTTTATAGCAATCTGAGACAACAAAGATTATTACCAAACCATATGAATCACATTCATACTCCAACAAATCTTACATAGAACGAGGACATGTTGAAAACTTAGAAGGTGAGGATCACTCAATTGATGTAGTAATACATATAACGACACAATAATTTATTTTAGATGATCAGTAAGAGTGAGGCTGCAATGTTTATGAGTTAGATTTCTCATTTAACGGTTGTTCAATCAAGGCCTATAAGTGGTGGGTTATTTAATACTCTAAAATATCATTTATTTTTCATATCAACGTTGTGTTAAGTTTTGTATTCAAATAAAATAATATTATTATTCCAACCCAAAAGAGGTACAGACCACAACTCTTCTGCAAAAAAACATGTCCGCATTTTCACACTTCCCCTCTCCTTTGTTTTCATCCTTCTCCCGTCTCCAGTTTTACTCTCCGAAGTAGATATGTATCCATGGCTCTTGGACGTGTGCTGGGAAGTAGCAGTAAATACATTCATATGGAAGACTTATCGGAAGCCATGGAAGATGAGTTTCCACACCCATAAATTCTAAGAAATAGGTAGTAATGAGAAATGGAATCTCTCAAAGTGAGATTATTTATAGACTCTGACTCTCTATGGACTCACAGTTTAACGTTAATTTTGAGACAACATTTAGAATTTATATGATTCAGAATAAGGTATTTTGTTTTTTAGTATTTTGTCCCACATCGACCGTTTCATTTTTCTCTTCCCCTCCTAGCCACTATACAAAAAGGCTTTGGGGAAAGGAGAAAACACACCAAGAGGAACAATTTGTCTTTAGCTCTAGAGAGGAAAGAAAGCTCTCATTCTCTCCCTTTTTTAGTTTAGCATCTAGGGTATCATCTTGCCCTGAAATTAGGAGGCTACTAATTTACGGTGGTTTGATCCTTGTGTTCATAGGCAGTCTAGTTGGGTTAGATGCAATTGAATCCTCTTTTTGGCAACGTTCTTGTTTGAGATTCATACAACGGTTCGTTGGGAATTTGTTAATTTCACAAGATATTATCCTAACCGAATTCCTTTATATTATTTGCATATATTTCCAATAAATATTGTGTAAAAACATAGGAAGCAGATTCCCACTTTCAAGAAAGATGTCATTTTTTAAAACAAACAATAGTATTTTTCACTACGGCGATAGGGGAGTATGCTAAGCCTCACAATAGACTAGTAATAATGTGATTCAAATTCATCTTTGGTGAGAATTGAACCAAAGAACTCTAAGTGAAAATAAATACTACTATATTGTAGTACTAAGCGGCGAGAGGACATTTTGTTTAAAAGTACTCTAAAGTAGCTACTAAGGTAACAAGTGGATTTTCACTTTCTTTTATAGTCAGAATTGCTAACTAATTGGTAATCTTTTTTTGGATTTAATCTAATTTTAGATGGCAAACAAGAGTTCGTCAATTTATTGAGCATATGCGTCCAGTTGTCAATTAAGGTGATTGTTGGTCAGTAACATCACTCAGTGCTTCCAAGTTGTGTATCATCTGAACACCAGAATTTGGATTTTAATCCCCACAACATCTTGTGGGTTGCGTCCCAAAGGTTCTCGCGCGCCCAAATGAAGAGAATCTTACCCTGCCACTATATGCACTTACTGTACATGAAGAATCATGACGTTGCATTGGAAAGCAATTAAATGTTTTGAACATTTTTTATTTCTCCCTTTAGGGACATGGCTTAAAAATTCAGATTGGAATTACAGGATACTAAGGGGCCAAGGGCCCAACACAAAATTATTCAAAAACTCAGTACATCTACTCCAATAATTAGAGGACTTGTCATACAGCCTAGCCTGCATATGCAGAATCAAATTACAGGTTACGGTCCATAGCAAATCCTCAAATTGTTGGGGTGAGCGTATTGAGTTTTTAAATTATTTCATGTTGGCCGCTGAGTATCCTGTAATCTCCAAAATGGATTTTTAAGCCATGTCTTTGAAAGCAGAATTGAAAAAAGTTCAATAATTTAGTTAGCATATTTGTAAAGATTTGAATTTGAAGGTGTTTGATTAATTCTTATGTTGATTGGGTTGTCCATATAAGGCCAATCGCTAATCGCTTTCCAATACAATGTCATGATTATAGTGCGTCCAATATATGGTGGGACTTTTGTCATAGTGGTAGGTCAAGGTCCTCTTCTTTAGGCGCGGATGAAACCTAGGGTCACAATCCACAAGATGTTGCGGGGAGAGCAAAAGCCAGATTCCTTCATGTGGTACATAGCTTGCAAGCACTTAACTGTCCATCACTAATCTGAATTGGCATCATGATTAATAAATAAATAATTTTATGTTAAAATAATATTATGATTACTGATTAGTTTCTAAATTGCACTAATAATTATATTACTTACTGGCTTCTTGGTGTCAAACAAATGGATGCATATGCTCAATGCGGTTGACGAACTCTGGCTGAGTTTGGGTGTCATTCCATGATATAGAATGAGAGATTGCTCTAGTACTAGTAAATTTTGTATCCAAGTAGTTTATGTGCCATTAGCTAGCTCTTAGCTCTATATATTATTTTGGTCACTCTTGCTGGAGTTGGAGTAAAAACTGAATTGCTTCCCGTTTCAATGTTTATTTTGAATTACGAGTGAAGTGAACTTCTTGTGGAGTAGGGAAGGGTCTGATGTTGTAGTCATTGGGAGTGGTATCGGCGGATTGAGTTGGGCGGGGCTTTTAGCCAGGTTACTTGTTCCGGGGATTGATGTCTTTGAAGTGAATTATATGTATTTTATGTCTTAACATTCGAACCAACATTTATGCTGCAGTTTATACGTGCGAAAAAATCTGTTGCAGCAATGCATCTATGTGGGACAATCTATTACCTAAGAAAGCTGTTCCAAAGTCATTTCAGGACAGGACGAAGACGACCTCCCAAAGTGAATCGTTCCTACATCTTCATTTGGGATTTGATGCAAAGGTGAGTGATCCGATCAAAAATCTATCCATATAAAGATCTCAAAGTACGTACAAATCTGCATCTAAAGAGAGTAAATTTACTAACAGAAGTACAATTCAATAGCAAACTCACGGTTGCGTTCTTATTCGTCGAATTCAAAGAAGACAGAAGAAAAGATAATAGATAGTGCAGCCCTATTGAAATACTTATTCAATGTTTATGTTTCATAACTTGTACTCCAGGAAATGCGGAGAGCCATGGAGCGTGCGGTTGGTCCTGGCTTTGGCCATGAGAAATGCGAGGTGAAGTTATTCGGATCTCCATTGACGCACCAGAGGTTTCGTTGAAGGAACCGAGGAACGTCTGGACCAGCAATAGAAGCCCGTAAAGACTCATTCCCGGGGCATTCAACTTCCACCCCTTAACTTTATTGTTGTGGAGATTCTACATTTCCTGGCGTCGGAGTCCCTGCAGTTGCTGTTGAATTATGGCCAAATTATGGGGCATTTTTTTATCCGGCCCATGTGAAAGCCATTGTTTGTGGCTAGGGTATATTGCAAGAAGCTGCTGCCCTTTTGGTTTTGAAGCAGAAAGGGAGAGATTAGAAGCTGCCGACAGCCTCTATTTGCAAGAAGAGAAGAGAGCTGCTGCCCCCGTTTTGTTAGCAACCACCCATCAAAGTTGTAGTTGTAATAGCTTTGAGTTTTGTATAGAGAGAAAATTAATCACGATAATTCTTTCTATATTTGTTTCTTTTGTTGTGTGAGTGCTATTGGGTGAATCTCTGCTCCAAAATTATAATCATTCCAAAATTTCATCGTTTTGTCACTTTTTGAGCAAAGCAAATTTCGCTTGACCTATAATCTAAACATAAAGAAAGTATCAACATTCTCCCCAAAAACATATATAAAATCCAATTAAGAATAGGGTGAAATATACTATAGTTTAAGAATGACTCATCAGCAATGGTTTAGTCTTCTAACTTCTATCTAATTTGTTAACAGATGTCATACAAATAAAGAGTTAACCAAAAGAGAGAACTCACTCTTTCCATACAAGATACTGATGGAGGGGAATCAAAATCGAGACCTTAAATAAGTGAGAACTCTTAACCAACTAACTTGCAAGTCTTTTACAAATTCTCATACTTCAATATATAGAAAAACATGAAAACTGACCTTATCGAATCAATTTGGCGTCCATGTTAGTAAAAATCCTCCACCAAGTGCCCCAAAAGAAGTAGCTAACTTGATAGTTTGACGGACAAAGGGACGGACGGTGTAACAATTCTAATTGTTACTTTATAAAAATTTGCTCCCCACCCCACACCATGAGCCGGATTTTAACTTTCTGACAAAGAGATTTGGTATCATACTCGGCATATTCTCGTGGTCCTCAAAAGTTTGTGGCCTTTGAGCAAACCGATCCAATGACTAGATCCCATGATCCCGTCATTTAGATTAAAATTGAACGGTAGGTAACGAAATCAAATCACAATAAAAATGAGCATTAGATGTCGCTATCACAAGGAATTTTATGTCTAAACCATTCTCCAAAATTAAATTGCAACAACATGGATTATAAGTTATACTTGGTCACTCACAGAAAGAAACCCTAACAAAAAAAGATCAGACCGACCAAAAACACACCCCTTTCCGGTGAAGGAATTTAGACATTTTCACTTGAAGCACTTGGCGTCCAAAAGAGCCTCTCCCTCGAACGGCTCCTGGTCTTCGATCATCTGGTTGACACGCTCCTTTTGGTTTTCATCTGAAATGTCAACCTTTGTCCAGCTGTAGAGCTCCATGTCGTAGCACTCATCCATCACGAATTTGGGAATTTCTTGCCCACGGAAGAGCCACAGCCCCTTCACCTTGAATGGTGCCTCTGAGCCAATCACAAGCATCTTCCCAAAGGCATACTTACGGGCCAGATCCATCCGCTGAAGGAATCCACCCACCTTGTTCAGTGTCACAAAGGAAACTGTATTCTCATCATTGTACTTGTACTCACAGAACCAAAGAGAGTATCCTTCAGGGTCGTACATGTCCCAGAATCCTGCAATAAACAAAGGTGTAGCACCAATTTACGGTTATCAAACCCAACTGGTATTTTTGACTTCCTACATTCCAGAAAGACCAAGCATTGGGATAATTACCTTTAATAGCAACCTCACGGAAGTTGCTCTTTGTGTTAGAGTACAGTCTCTTCCAGTCATCCAAAACCATCTTACTTGGGGGAAGCAGATCAAGAGGATTCTTGGGTTTTGGCTTTGGAGCCTCTTCCACTTCCTCAGCAGCTTCTGCTTTGGGTTTTGCCGGCTCTTTTTTGGCTTCTTTCTTGGGCTCCTCCTTCACCTTGCCTTTAGCAGGCTGGGCAGGCTTCTTTGCAGATACAACTGGTTGAACTGAAACAGCCTGCTTGACATCACCCAGTACCTTTTTGAAGTTCGGTTGATTGACCAGGGTCCAGAAGTATCTCTCAACATGCGGAAACTCTGAAGTGAAGCTCTTAGTCATGACGTTAGTGAACCCCACGTACAAATTGCATACGACAACAATGTCCGCAAGGGTTACAAAATGCCCAACTAGGTATGTGTTCGAAGCAATATGGGTGTTCAAGGCACCTAGTGCTCTCTTCAATGCAGAAACTGCAGCTTCCTCAGCCTAATTAGAATATACAGAAAATGTTATAAAGACTCCAATGAACCATCGAGGTAGCTGGAAGGAACGAGGGAATCATAAACAACATAGATTGTACACTGTAAACCAGGGAAAGAATCATATATTTCACTTTAGTCAAGTGTCACAACCAAATTTGTGTTGACCATATCAACCAATGTATTTGACATGATTGTATATCTGACCATAACAACTAACAGGATCCGTTGTAACTAGCCTTAAAAAGAGTGCAACTGGTATTAAAAAAATTTATCATATTCCATTAATGTTCACTATGTGACGCTACTAACTAAACAAAATATATATCTAATCTTGTCTCTATGATAAATGATCGATTTCCATGGTTCCTAAAGGAATAAACAAAATAAGCACACTTTAAGCAATCAAATCGTAAAAAAATGCTACCTAAATTGGGAATATAAGACAAAGAATCAAGATTATGTAACTCACTGGAGGAAGGTACACGCCATATCCCAGTCTTGGATAGTACCACTTGCTTATGTTAGCATCAATCTCCATGGTTCCAAAATCAATCCATTGCTCGATATGGGCCTGAAGAATAACATACAATGGTAAGCATAACAAAAATCTTATTTCACCAGGACCGAGAAAAATGATGAAACAGAAAAGGGGAGGTGCACTTAAGCCTTTAGGTTTACACATGGAAAAATAACAGACGGATAAGAGTTTCTTACATAATCAATCAGAGAAGAACCATACAGAGGATTATCAGCTTTCAAGCGTGCAACTGAAGCAACACAAAAACATAGTTAACTTCCAATACAACAATAAAAATGCATAAATATAATTTGATAGTCTTACCATAGCGAGCAATAGCGTTACTCTCAAAAATGGGACCATCCGGTGTTACCAACAGCGGAACCTGAAATTATACATAGATTCTTTAATACATAAAATCAAACCAAAATTTCCTTAAGCATGTATATAATTAGAAAACAAAAGTCTACCTTCCCGATAGGGTTTAACTTCAAATATTCAGGAGTTTTGTTTGAGACACCCATCTCAAAGTTAGGTGCAAGTTCAACTTTCACACCAGTATACTCTGCAGCAATGAGCGCCTTGTAACCATTTTTGTTTGTCTTCCCTGCATGCAAAACCTGAAAAGTAAACAATACAAACCTTATTAGAAAACAAAGATATCAAAATTGATGCCGATAACATAATAGTTGAAACCAAATCACACCCACAAATCATATAAAAAAAACTTAAAACAGGTTTGAACATTAACACTATGTTTGGATGACGAAAATAAACTTGTAATTTGGGTAAAAGTCAAAATTTATAAATTGATACGCACCAATTCCTTTGTTTGGATTCATAAACATCGAGATTTAGAATTTCTGCGTGGAAAAAAACTTGGAATTTGGGACCTCCAATTCACAAGTTTAAATTCCATGTAAATAGGTGTCATTTCCCAATTTCTATGATTGAGAGTCTAAGAGTCTAAAAATAACAAATTCTGTATTCAATTCCATTGTTTCTTTAGGTTAACCAAACAAGAAAATTCACAAATTCTAGAAAATAAAATCCTGTCATTTCAATTACCATCATTTTAAAATTCCTTAGTAATCTTAAATTTCTTTATCTGAACATGATGTAAGTGAACTAAAGCAGAACAAATCCCTAAAAATTGCTGAAGTTCAAATGGGTTTTCTGGTATTTTATCAATAATATCAGGTCAACCTGAAAATCAAATCTAATTTCGAAAACAGATCAGTATAACAACATCTAAAATTGAACTGTATCATCATCAACCAAATCTACACCGGCCATTGGTGAAACCAAACGCATACGATCACTCAATTACGTACTTTTTAAGATGCAATCGAAACACAAATCGACAGCTGTGAACGATAAGAAGAATAGGACTACAGTGCAATCAGAGACGAGAACTGAGATTGGAAGATCAGAAGAAACAAACTAAAACTCACCAGAGCCATGGCTGTTCCAGAAAAACGCTTCGCTCAGACTTTAGATCTGAAATATGCAAAGCCAAAAAAAAACCCAAACTTTGGTATCAGCCTTACAGTGGAAAAAAATTGGTAGATGCGAAGAGAAGAATTTTGACTTCAATTTTCTCGAGAAACAAACAGAAAGTGAGAGAGACCTGTGAGGCGGAGCGTTCTTCCGAGAGAGAAGTTAGAGAGCAAGAGACGATATACTGATGTAGGTAAAGCCAAGAGCTAGGGTTTTTGTTGCGACTGAAAAATGACTACAGCGATTACGGGTCGGGTATTTTTTCACTTTAGGCTACATCCGGCCCATTTTCAGCTTTCCGTACATTCCTGTTGTTTTTAATCCATTTTATGCTCGGCCCAATCCCCACAGGAGTTGGATTGAAATTTTCGATTCCGCCATTAAACATTCCGATCCGACTCCAGTTTTTTTTTAATTTATTATTATTAAAAGGAGGGGAAGTTCTGTATTCGGGATGCAGGGGCATTATCCACAGATATTGGACTACATACCAAATATTATTGAATACGAATATTTCCAAGTTTATAATCTGAATCTTATGTATTGATTCCAAAATTTCTAAGTTTATAACTCAACTTTTGTATTGTATGGCTTCGTAATTAAATACCTGTATCATAATATTTGCAGCCGATATGAATAGGAACCCACATAATTTTCGCAAGTAGCCATGAATGGATGCCAAGTGAAAGCTCATTCTAAACCCACATGATGGGTAAGAAAATAGTCTCACATACTTATCACAATTTTCCTATCGTCTTTTCAAAGTTCACACTATGCATTAATTTCATTTTGTAGATCATTGCTTGTCACTTAGCAGTTCTTATTCAAATTCTCCACATAGGCCTTGAACTGAGGGTGGGCAAATGAGTCTAGGAACTGTGGGTCAGGACATGTCTAATTTTTCTAAAGAAGAAACGGGGTGGGGCGAGTCTAAGTCTATAGAAGCATGGGGCCCCGGGCCGACCCATTTCTAAAATGGAATGAATGGAATCTAATTTTGGATGGGATTTGTTTCTCTTCTCCGAGTGACCCAGCCCAAACAGCCACGATACACAA